TATCTGCTCTTTAGAATATGGAAAGAGACATTATGTGTAAATGGTTTTCTGTGGTGGCGACACTAGAAGAAGGGTCAGTAGGTCATCGACATTCAAAGGATGTATCCTCTGAGGACCATGAACATATTCAGCAATCCTCCCCATCATACTCCACTGTTCAGATTTGTAGGTATATAATGAAAAATTGGACTTCAGTATAACAGTGGTGCTGGAAAAAAGGTCATTGGGTAACCTAAATCATTATGATTTATCTTCTGCGTGCCATGGATACCCACAGCAGATTTAAGGGGAATTGGGTCATTAGTTTCTGAGGTATTGTGTCATGAAATAAAGTGTTGAACAAATGAAAGATTTTTACTGCTGGTAGAACTAGATAAGGACTCAGCATGGCTAAAAATTAATACAAATTTCATAAAGGGTCATATTTATCACAGGAATATTATTTTGAAATACAACACCATGTACAGGTGTTCTTCATCTCACTTGGTGTGCATGGGAACACAACACAGTTCCTCCTTTTGTAGTTTGCACAGAGGAATATCCTGATGTAATATATGACTCCAATAACAGCGAATGAGCATTTGTAGGAAATTTACATTTGTAGAGTGTATTTGCACATATGTTGTATTAATAATACATGTGACACTGCAGAGAAAATTGTCACTTAATATAATCCATACAGCCTGATCTCATTAATTACATCTTCTAAAGTCATTTATCGAGTGTTTTATCCTTCAGTGTGAACTCAACATGCTCACTTTTTTGCTGCAGTGAATATGGGACAAAGCTTTCACTCACTGGCCTCAAGAAGTGTAATCTCACAGGCAGGATCTGCATATTCACAAGCAGTTAAGAACAAATGTGGAAACTGATAATATTTTTTTTATGTCTATTGTAGCTTTAACCACAAATTAAAAATGCTGTAATCTGTCGTTACGACCTAACAAATGGAAAAGATCTGTGACTGTAGATTTTTTATGTGATTATTTTCTCAGACCAAGAGTCATATCCTTCTGGCGTTTTGCCACAGAGGTGTGGACGTCCCTTCCTCTGCTGACAAAGCTGCAAAGGAGCTGATAAAATGTCTTTACACTGTAAATGCTTGTAACCATGAGGATTATCAGTTCACCTCACACTGCCTGCTGAGCAGCACTGTGTACATGCCGGTGTGCTGCCTCGACTGGCCCTTGGTTTTTAGTTACAGCACCAGGGTTGATCTTGTGTTGCCACAGGATCTGTTACGTGTTTCGTCATCCTGTGTGGCTCAGCGAGTGAGTCCTTAGCTGGGTCATAACAGCAAGTTATGACCTGACATGGCGTCAGTGCACTTTCTATACACACCAGGGGTCAAACCAGGACATCCACTGTGTGTTTACCAGTGGGTTCCTGTTTATAAAGAGGGTTTGTTTATCTGTACAGGAATAGCTTCACTATAGCAACAAATGTTATTACCTAGCTGGTCCTTTTTATTTGTCTTAAAGGAGTGGGTGAATGATGACCCTTGTTTCTAGACTCTGGATTATCATTGGTAAGACTGTACAGCAGTGCCCAAAAGCAATTTGCTTGTAGAATACCTTGCCTGACCCATTTTCCTGGATTTTCTTTCAACTGCAGGCAACTCAAAGGACTGACAGAGAGGGTGGAGGGGGAAAAATGGGACAGAAAAAAATACACTGCCATACAATCAGTGATGGTGAGCGAATCAATGATTCTTTTCGCCTGCAAGAAAGAGCCAATGGAAAATTACCTTACCAGGCCTCCCACTACAAAGTCACCTCTGAATTTAATCTTTATTAGCTGAGTCAGATGTGGAGATGCTGAGGAGGCAGAGAGGGAATTCAAGACTTGTCTCCCTCGGCTGAATCTCCAGCTATACCCTCTCACTGTGTTCCACTGTGGGGTATTTTTGTCATCAAAGCATTTATAAAATGCTTAAAAACAAGCATGTGGTAGGACTTTCCTTTTTATTGCTGCGATGTGGCTCGATGTGAGCCAGTAGCTCAGTGCTCGCAATGTAAGTGACTTTCACATCAGCAGAGATTAGTTTTAATTGACCCAGAGAAGTGAAGCAGTGAATTCTTGGCATTCAACTAATCAGTTTAACTAACAGCATTATGTACAGCATACAGCACAATACACTGTGCATGTAGGACATAACATGACAAATAGGGCCTTTTCACAACACATGTCATGTATATGCAGGAAAATCACAGATGTACCAAACTGCATTAATGATGGCTTAGTTCCATAAAGCCATGCTAGTGAGCCAGCATGTATTATACCAGGGATCTTGAACCTAAATTAAACGGAGCCATCTTTAAGGTTATTAATTAAACTTGGGCTATCAAAATGTCTGTTGGGAAAAGGGCCTGTATACTCAGGCTGTGCACTGGGAAGAATCTGGCAATACAATACGCAATGTTAGGGAAACTACTTTTAAATCAGTAGCTTACCAAACTACAAGCTACTTCACAATGAAAAGTAATTAAACTACATTGTAGCTACTCTCAAAAAAGTATAGCTTGTTAAAGTAAAAGTATTTTCAAAAAGTTGCTCCACTGCACCCAAACTACATCACGGCAAATGATCACAATCTGATTCTGCAATCTCAACGTGTTACACAGAGATACAACTGAACTGACACTGAGTAAATGGTAGGTGTGTTTGATTTAGGGACTAGGGCAGCCAGTCCTCACAGTCCAAGGACATGTTTTAAGGAGAGGGTAGGGAGCAATTTTGGGGGCTGATTCAGAAAATTTGCTTTACCTCTGGGGCAATTCGTAGTATTCGATTGCAGACATCTTGGTTGCAAACCAGAAGTGATTTTAGTCAAGTAGCAGTTTATTAAATGTCATTAAATTACAATTGTGGCCAATGAGCCGTAGCATTGCACCATATTACATGGCAAGAAATATCATGAGAATACTATGAATATGTAGTTTGTAGTTAACTACATGAACTACATGACATAAATCCAACTACTGCAAATTGTAGTGAAACTAGAAGTTGAACTACATGTAGTTAACTTCTCCCCAACACTGACGATAGATATCACGGTACAGGGGTTGCAATTCAATACGCTGCTCCAAGCAAGGTGAAATATTGCAATGTTTTTTAATCTAATTTTAGGAAAACTGTCATAGTAGGTATGGGCCGCATCTATTTTTTCACACCTTAATACCCTCCTGACATTTTACCGGGGTATACAGTATATGATGGTATTAGTGTGCAGCACTACTCCAACCCCACCCCTCCAACCGGCAACTTTCCGCAAGCACTCTTAGCCTTTTTTGGTCTAATAAATACACAATACAAACTCGCAAAATGACAAGAAAGTTAATACTCTGATACCCATTTTCCTTGTTAAATGGATATATACAACCGTTTACTGTCTGAGTTCAAGTTTCTCTCTTTCACTGAATTAAGACTACCTTAATCGCCTTGATAAACATGTACAAAAACACAACAGAACTCACCAAAACCATATTGGTTTGTCTTGTTAGTCATGTAGTTAGTTAGTCCAATATCCCAACAATCACCAGTTCTGGTTTGATTGAAATGAACCCTTAAAGGGATAGTGCACCCAAAAATGAAAATTCAGCCATTATCTACTCACCCATATGCCGAGGGAGGCTCAGGTGAAGTTTTAGAGTCCTCACAACGCTTGCAGAGATCCAAGGGGAGAGGAGGTAGCAACACAACTCCACCTAATGCAGGCTGACGGCACCCCAGATTCAAACGTCCAAAAACACATAATTGAAACCACAAAATATCTCCATACTGCTCGTCCGTAGTGATCCAAGTGTCCTGAAGCCCCGACATAAAAAGTTGTTTGGAAAAACGTCATTTGAACTCTGTTTTTAGCCTCATTGTAGCCTGTAGCTCTGACTGCCTCTCTGTGCACCACGCTCACTTCACCTGAGCCTCCCTCGGCATATGGATGAGTAGATAATGGCTGAATTTTCATTTTTGGGTGCACTATCCCTTTAATTCACTGTATTAGATGTGTGAATATGCTGTTTTCTCCTGAGATCTCTCTCTGCTGCTAGCTAGCCGGGTGTTTACAGTCCTGTAATGTAATCCCCAACACTCACAGTCTCCACGTGTCTTAGCTCAGCTGCCTGTTCCACCAGTAGAGACTGACCTCTGGTGGTGTGTGATGTGCACTGCATACAGTACATCCAATACAACATCTCTGCATGAGTTGAACAGACAGAGGAGCGTCTGTATTTTTGACGGTATTGAAAATCATACTGTTGGGTGTGCAGGTATAACAGTGGGGTCTTCATTTGTATTCATCACAGTCCCTTTACCACACTTGTGACATGCTGTTATGTGTGAGTGGAAAAGTCAAATGGCTTAAGATAGATTACAACACTGTTATCTATCACAAAATGAACCACTGCCACAAATTTTTGCTTGTAAACTATTAAAAATCAATAGTGTTTTTGAGAATCGATACAGTATCATAAAACATAATATTGTGATACTTAAGTGTATTGATATTTTCTTACACCCCTACTGTATACTTTGAATAAAAGTAAACAGCTGATACAAGGGAAGTGTTTGTTTGGGGGTTTATCTCTGTTTAGTGGAGGCATTGTGATATCTAAAATCTTGAGGCCACAAGTTACATTATCAAATCAAAATGCCTTAATGTTGTATTATTGGATTGTTTTCAAATATGACATTTTGGTGAATATAATGTTTGTAATATATTCAGATAGACCCGGCTATAATGTTTCATTAAGTCTTTTATGAAACTGTTTTCATTCGGAAGGGAATTAATTTGGAGAAACACTGCTGTGTAATTCTTCATTCTGTTTCTGTCACAGCTGTTAATTTTTTCATCAAAAGATAATCCCAGTTGTGTGAGAAAATGAATAAATCTTAACTTATATCAGAGAGTCTTCAATCTGCACTTTACTTGCAGATTAAAACAGATGCTGTATTCCCCGAGCAGACATGTTGCCATAACGTGTTAATGTAATTTCTCTCAGGTCACTTGCTGCCTGGACATGACCGTAGTCTGAACTGACGCTTGAGGAGTCACTGCAGCAGCATCCTTCAGGTCAGCCATTCATCTCCATGCCACTGTGAGGAGGAATCACTCATCCTGAGCACGAGTTTGGCCCTTGTGTTTCTCTACTTTTCACCATGGGGGGAGCCGTGAGCGCTGGGGAGGACAATGACGACCTCATTGATAATCTGAAAGAGGCCCAGTATATTCGCACAGAAAAAGTTGAACAGGCTTTTCGGGCCATAGACCGCGGTGACTACTATCTGGACGGCTACCGGGACAGTGCCTACAAAGACTTGGCGTGGAAGCATGGCAACATACACCTGTCTGCACCGTGTATATACTCCGAGGTGATGGAGGCCCTCAAACTGCAGCCTGGACTTTCTTTCCTCAATCTGGGCAGTGGGACTGGCTACCTGAGCACAATGGTTGGCCTTATCATCGGTAAGCATAGTGTACCCAGCTGTGTTTTTCATGTGTGGGAAGTGCTCAGATGTTCTTTAAAATCTAGGTTAAACAAATTTACAGCCTAAGTACACCGTGTGCCAACAAATCAGCATCAGAGACTACGTCTACATGCACAAGATATTTTAGTTTTTGCCTTTATTCCAAACAAAAAACCCAAACATTTCCTACTAAGCTGTTTACATGGCAAATTGAAACAAATATTCCACTGTTATTCCTCTTTACATGCAGCTGTGTGTACTCTGATTAACATGTCCTAACATGTTTAGCATTTTATGAAAAGGAAAAGTGGAAAGGCTGGAGCTGCCTCCACCAGTGGCGGACTTGTTTGACCTTGCTAACACAGCCTCCCTCTTTAATTCCTCCCACCACCCTCTTGAAAAGGTCAGAGTTGCGATATTTGTGCATATCAAAAACCTGTTGATATCCAATCTTTCATAATGTTTGAATGACCAGAAATGCCTCTCTAGCCCAGCCTTGCAAACTGTTGGCGAGTTGGTTTGTGTACAATGCATCCATGACAACGCACAGAGTTGGCCTGCAACAGGGTGTGTCCCAAACTGTGGTTAAAACCCCAACTGAGATGCATATTCAGAATATGCTGTATCATTGTCCAAAGAATGCTGGTGAAACCCAAATGATATCGGCATATCCAACATGTCTTAACTGGAAAATGCCACATTCAGAATATGGGGTTTGATGTTTACATGACCCGTATCAAGTTCAGAAATATTGTCATATTTGGAATATTAGTAGAACTCGTCCATACCCATTGGTAGCTTTGTCACCTTCTACCTATGCCAATCCTCAGTGCCTATGTGTAGTTTCACATAGATTGACCACGTCAGTAGCTGTGTTTCCATCCCAAAGTTATTGGAATCATTGGGAAATGCGCATTAAAAGAAATAAAAATCCTGAGTGTTTCCATTAAATGTACTACGAACTCGCGCACGTTTTCTGCAGAACTGGAAACAAAACAAGTTGTTGTTCTTCTTCTATGTTTTCTGGTGGTTGGCAACCAGCTTGTAAATACATTACCGCCTTCCTGACCCGGAGTGTGGATATCACCATTGAGAGAGGTGCGCTACGTCAGAATTAATTCGAACATAACTGTTTCCATCCCCCGTTTTGCGAATCAACATTTTTTCGAATCAACCAAAACCCGGCTAAAGCAAGCGTATTTTAGTTTGTGTGAATCAGGGGATTTTAATTCGAATTTTGGTGTTTGCATCATAATTTTCCGATGTGATACTTCTAGATGCGCATCTAAACAGGCTGATGGAAACATGGCTAGTGAGTAGAAAAACGTGGGACAGACAGAATGACTGACTGACAGAATGATACACTGACAGTTTCCGTGATTATGTACAGCATACCATACCATGACTTAGTCATACCAAAAATTTGAAAAAAGGAAAACATTGGTCCACAGGGGGAGCCACAGCGATCGGTCACATTTTAGCCATTTTTAAGCATTTTGAAGCATTTTTCTGTTGTTATAGCGCCACCCAGTTGCCAATTACAGTTAAATTTCTCCAGTCACCTTGAGGCGTCCTGTTCTACGTATCTACCAAGTTTAGTCAAAATCCATATGGCGGTTAGGCCTAGATAAGAAATGAGCTCTCTAGCGCCCCCATTTTGTTTGATGGGGTCAATAATGGAGGGGTCCCCTCAGATTATGTGTGGTCATATGCCTACAAAGTTGCGTGGTGATGGGTGAAACCCTTGAGATGTTATACACCTTTATGTGATGAGCCACGCCCTCCGCAATATTCATTGCCTTATAGAAGCTCAGTTTTAGTAAGTTTTCCAACTTTTGCCAAGAGAGAACTTTAGATATTGGTCCCTAGATTATGTTCACCCAGTTTCATGCAGATCGCTCCAACTTCCTAGGAAGAGATCCGTTTGAAGTGTTTTTCAAAAAAATTCAAAATGGCGGAAAATCTATATAAGCGGAAGTTATGGGTTCTTGAGGCAAATTTGTTCCTCATGAGGAGAGGCATCTCTGTGCAAAGTTTCATGTCTCTACGACATACGGGGCATGAGATATGCCCATTCAAAGTTTGCAATTTCAATCGGTTGCTATAGCGCCCCCCTTTGGCCAACTGATGTAATATTGCTTCATTCACATCCTCCCATGACCCTCTACCACTGTGCCAAATTTCACATGGATTGACCAAGTCAGTGAAGAGAAAAATGTGGAACAGACACACAGACAGAGTTTTCGTCATTATATAGTAAGATATTAGTGTGCATGTAAACGTAGTCAGTGACAATAGCATTGCAAGGATTATTTTTCATAATTGTTTTATCTGCAGATTATTTTCCTGATTTACAGAATAATTATTTCGTCTGTAAAAAGGTGGAAGCTGCCCATCACAGTTTGCTTAAGCTCGAGGGACAATCTACAAATTGCCTGTCTTGTTAATGTCCAAAACTCATAAAAATTTAGTTCGTTATTATTTAAAACAAACAGACTCGGTACATTTGGCAGATTTGCCAGAAAAAAAGACTCAAATAACTATTCAATTGTCAACATAGGTGCAAATTAACTTCTTGTGTCAATGAAAGCATTAAACAGTTGAGCTCAACATGACATCCCAGTAGGAAGCAGGTAATGCTATGATTGTTCTTCAATGAAAATATTGTTCCTGTTGTGTCTTTTTTAACCAGGGCCATTTGGTGTGAACCATGGAGTTGAGCTCCATAAGGACGTGGTTGAATATGCCAGAGAGAAACTGGATGATTTCATAAAGAATAGTGACAGCTTTGATAAGTAAGTACATGCTTTAAAGGAATGTTTCATTTTGGCAAATACGCTGATTTGCTGTCTTGCAGAGAGCAGTGTTTCCCACAGAGTTAAAATGTGTGTGTGTGTGTGTGTGTGTGTGTGTGTGTGTGTGTCGGTAGCTGATGACAGGTGGTCGCTAAGTTTCTTATGGTTCCTTTTTTGTTTAATTGCCTGTTTGTCTTTGTGTATCAATCTGTGTCCCTTTTAAGTTCTGAGGTTTTTGCAGGTCAATGAACACAGCACAGGTGGAACTGTCCTCATGACTTCTTTGTTCCCTCTGCAGCAGTTTGTGGTGTTCGATATATGATCAGTCAGTGTGATCAGAGCTGATCAGATTTATTGATGAGAGGAGCAGTTTGTGAGTGAATGCAAACTTTAGACCCGGTGCACTGAAGGTTAAGTTTCACTTCACTGCGCCTGTCATTCTGCTGCTCCATCTTTGCTCTGCGCTCCGCAAGTATGATGCAATAAATAACCGAACAGTATAAAGCCCTGTTTCCACCAAACACTTTCAATATGGTACCTTTGGAACCAAAAGTAACCTTTCAGACATGGTACCTAGACCCTAGCGTTTCCACCGCAAACAGTTACATGTGGGCGGGGTTGTTGTCACTCACTGCTCCGTCTATTTCCTCATCAGCTGTGACACCGAGGGAAGTCTGCACCTTGTTTATTGTCCACAGAACGAGGCTGCACGCTGAGATTTTCAGAACAAAATATAACAGGCTGCAGTGAGAGTCTCTCTCCATGGGATATTTAAAGATATTGGGTTTGTGCATTTAGTCCTTCTAAGACAAGCTCAGGGGTTCAAAACCAGACACAACTCAGCCCTGAGCAGAGTGACCGTCCTCTATTGACCAATCAGACTGCAGTGTTCACAGCTCCACCTTTTAGTGCCAGATCTGTGTGCTAGGTACCCCAACAGAGGGGGGACCAAACATGGAGACGGTACAGAACGGTTACATTGGTACCATCCACAACTTTTCACAGTGGATACGGAAAAAAGGCCGTTCTGAACTGCTCGGTGGAAACGGGGCTTAATGAACAGTCCAGCTCCAACATGGCGGCCGATCTTTTAACTGTGGCGGCCGCCACAAACAGCTGAATGTGTCAGAAGTCCTGGAGAGTTAGATGAGAAGATCGTCAGAAATCCCAAATCTGTCTGTAAATTATAAGTCAGCAGCTAGTTGAACTGGTTGGCATAAAGAGTGGAAACAGGGAAGCAGCTAGCCTGGCTCTATCTGAAGGTAACCAAATCTGTCTACCAGCACCTTGAAAACTCACTAATGTTATATCTTGTTTATTTTGTTTAAAATAACAATTAATTAACAAAAGATATAAGGTCTTAAATAGCGAGCCTTATTAGATTATTAGCATATTCCTTTTTTTTTTTTTTTTTTTAAACAAAAACTGTATGTGTTCACACTACAGGCAGTTTTACCTGCTGGTTTTGCTGTTGTGGACCATAAGACTTTGTCTTGCAAATTAAATACATTTAAACCTCTCTAATTATACTCATCTCATCTGCATAATTCAGTCACAGCTCACAAATGTGAGGATGAGCGTGAAAGAAAGAAAAAAAAAACCTGTTCTCCAGTGTTGCTTAATGCATTTTTTCCACTATACTTGTTATTCTTTCACAGGTTTGAGATCTGTGAGCCTGTCTTTGTGGTGGGGAATTGCCTTGAAATCTCAACCGACAGTCACCAATACGATCGCATCTATTGCGGTGCCGGAGTGCAGAAAGACCATGAAAATTACATGAAAGTACTGCTCAAAATTGGAGGCATTCTAGTGATGCCAATAGAGGATCAGGTAAGTGCTGCGAGACTTCACAGTGATACAGAATCAACACATCGTGGTTGCTATTCAAAATGCTAACAAACGAGGGAAAACACGGTAAAATGGCTTTGACCTACAAGAGTGGTTATGCAACTTTCACATGCATTATTGAGCCACAACTGTCCCTGGATTTGAGCACACACGGGGCTGTATAAATAAATGTTTTATTTAAAATGGTGGGTGTGTGAGTGTGGACAGACTGTGGGGCATGTAAGCTGGCATTTTGAATATTCTGGGGAAGTGGTGGAGAAAATAGTTGGCAAGAACTTTTTCCAGTGAGAACCTGACAGATTCATGGTCAAGGATTTGGGGAAATTTAAGCAATTCAAAGGGAAATGGAGCTGAAGTGCAGCAAAGCTTGACTAAGATTCAATAGTGTGACCTGAGATTTAGATATCTGGATTATGTTGTCAGTTATTTAAGGCCTCAGTGTATTCTGGAGTTCAGAGAGTGCAATATACTTAAAAGAAATCAGTCAAATGGTATGCTGTTTTTAAAGAAGGTAGAAGGCTTTAGTGAAAATGAAAACAGCCTGCACACACTTATGAATCATGACGGAGAAAATAATTACACATAATTTTGATCAGAAAACTTTGTAAGATCTAAACAGCATGAAAGCCCTGCAAGCCAAATCCACTTATGCATGTCCACGCTAATGCTAATAATTTCAGCTTTTTTTTTGTCATCTTTGTTGTGGCCTTTCATCAGTCCCAAGCCACAGCTCTCTACCACCAAAAAAGAAGAGCTCTGTAAAATTACTCTCCAGAGTACACAAACATGAAACATGTTGTATGAGGAGAACAGAGCTTTCTAAACATGCTGACGTACCGTATGATTGAGTATCTTCAAAGACATGGCTGGGAACTAATGTGAAGAAGTAACACTCATCTTGTTTGTCATATATAGTTGGAATCATAGAGGTAGATAAAGTAGAAAGAGCATTGAACTGTTTGCTGTGGTCATTTGAGTAGTACAGAACAAACTGGTGATAGTTGTTCGTTGCTATGGTGACAACGCACGTCAGTAGGGCCGTCAAGTGTCGCAGTCAACAGTTTGAGAACTATGTTTGGCCAACGCTTACACCTATCCAGTCCAAGTTTCTTGATTTCCCCCGACTAACTTTAACCTCAGCTTAACTGCCTTGTTAACTCACTTCATGTAAAGTCGACAGAAACAAAATAAAACTCACTGAAACAGTCTAATTTAGTCTTGTTATTCATCTAGTTCGTTAAACAGTCTGTGTGTCGTCCGCATAGCAATGGAAAGACACGTTGTGGCGGCGGATGATCTGACCGAGCGGAAGCATATAAATAGAAAATAAAATTGGACCTAAAATTGAACCTTGCGGTACACCACAGGTAATCTGAGTTTTCGAGGATGTGTTATTACCTATGGTGACCGCAAAAGTTCTATCTAAAAGGTAGGAATAACATAAAAAGGATCTTAATGTGTATCCTCAGGAATGCATTTATGACCCTTAATCAAGATACAATTTTAACGTGCCCAGTTTAAATAGAAAAAAAATGTATACGTCTATATTAAGGCTTTATCGAAAGAAAAAAGAGCAGTATCGTGTTAAATGAAGTACATTAAACATGACTATGATCGGATAAACCGTACATTTGCCTTCAAGGCATCTTCAGTATCTGCTGATATTAATGGACCTGTTGTGTGCCACTTGAATGCTCCCCCGAAACCACTACACCTCCCCCTAAGACACACGCTCCCTTTATTACTATGCATGATGAGTCCATAGCATCATGTGCTTTAATTGTGTTTTGATAACCGTCATGCTGTGGACTGGTAATTACTTGTTATGGCCTGAGCCACCAGATATTTGTCGATTCCTCAGGACCACATCTCACATTTTCTCTCTCATGTTGATGATGCGTTTGATAGGGGTGGGTGATGTGATGATGTACTGTGTAGTATGACTTAAACAGTTAGTTGGATCATTAATTAGTCAATTGGCAGAATTAATTGGCCACTCTTAAAAATTGAAGAATCGTTTCGGTCATTTTTCCAAGCAAAAATGACAAACATTTAAGGCTCTGGCTTCTCAAATGTCAGTGCTTTTCATAGTCTTACATTATAATAAACTTAATAACTAACTGTGTGTGACAAAACAGGACATTTTAAGACGTCACCTTGGACTTTTGGAAAGGTCGTTGCCTTTGAAAAGCAATTTCACTGTCTTGTTGATGCTCAGACTTAACTCAAAGCCTGTTAACATTGTTCCTTAGGCCCATTGGCAGTAATTTGCTCACGTACAAAGCAGGTGTGGAAAGAGTTTCATGCACCAGTTTGATACAACAGCATGTATGCAAATGTAAGAGTGCTCATGTCTCCTCCAGGGGTACGATTTATCTTTACATTGTGAACTGAACAGGTGGATTTTGGAGTAACATCATTAGAGGTGTGAATGTTTAATAAGCAAACACTTTTATTTATACAGAGATAATTGCAACAGTGTATCTGTAGAGAATCAAACAGACACGTCCCCAAAAGAATCATCTCTACTCAGGTGGCAAATTCCCAAAAATGCACAGTAAGCAATAATAAATATATATATATTGTGGAGAAACTGTTCTGGTTTAGGCCCCGAGTTCTTGCTCCCGAGTGTCACACAGTATTTCACATTTTATTTTAAGTGTTGAGTTCAGGTTTTGTCTCTTTATGCAGCTGACCCAGATAACCAGGACTGGCCAGTGCACATGGGAGAGCAAAAACATCTTGGCGGTGTCCTTTGCCCCCTTGGTCCAGCAGAGCAGAGCTGATGGAGAGAAGCATGACGCTGTCCAGCTGCGTAAGTTCTCCAACCTCAGCAAAACAAAAACAAAGACAAAAAAAACTTTGTGTTTTATTATGCCTAACTGGTCTTGAAGTGTAAAGCAGGCAATATTTCAAAGTCAGACAGTACATTCAAAGTGATGTGACGAGACGATTCCTGCAGCAGTATTCGCTTTGACATTAGAAGCTCGCCCTGCAGCTGCTCCATAGAGCCAGTTGTTCCCTTTTCCTTGAAATACTGAGACACAGTTCTCTCTCTGACAGCTTCACTTGTTTATGCTGCCCTAGTTGAAGGACTGGTGCAGTCATATGGACTATTCTTATTGTTGTGGTGCATTGCCCTGAAGGACTGTGTCATCTCTATTTGTCCTCAGCCCCAGTGACTGTCCGCAGCCTTCAGGACCTGTCTCGGATCTACATCCGCCGCACTCTGAGAAACCTGGCCAACGAGGACAGCCAGGGGAAGGGGATGGTGCAAAGAGTTCCCCAGAAGCGCAAACGCAGGCGCTGCCGACGGCGACGCATCAACACCTACGTTTTTGTAGGCAACCAGCTGATCCCCCAAATGGTGGAGAGTGAGGAGGAGGAGCACGCTGAGGAGGAACACAAGGAAGTGGAGGAGGAGGAGGAAAGAGACATTGGCGACATTGAAATCATCAAGCAAGTGAACATGTTGAGAGACCAAATAATGGCGTTACCACTGCCTGAGTCACTTAAGACATACTTGCTGTATTACAGAGAGAAATGACTGATTAACTCGATATCCACTCTTACTGGGTGCAGCGCCTGCTGAGATGCTTTTCTTCACCCTTTTCAGTACAAATGTAGCATTATTTCCATTAAATCTTGATGGCAAAACTGTAATAGAACGAGACGTCATAGATAATATTGGATAATAATGTTATGATTGTCACAAGTTAGTTTTTGTTGACATTTTCTTTTGATTTGTATATCAAAAAAAAAAAAGATGTAAAAAGTATACTAAATGGACATAGTTTCAGAAGCCCGTTTTGAGATTCAGATTTTATCACAATGTCAGGATTTCTGCAGAAATGTGCAGATATAAAAAATTGTATAAAAAAACAAAGTTCTTATTATATTTGTTAAAATATGATCATGCTAAGATGAAGACTTTTATTGCAGCCTTTTTAGAAGCTTTAACTTACAATCAGCGTCTGATGATTTAATGGTCACCAGAAAAGGAGTTAAAGACACCTAAGGGTAAATAAGGCCACATCCTCCCATTCTGAGTCAAAGGTATACTCTGCAGGAAGTGTTGTTACTGGTTGTAATAGGGATGTCAATGGTTAACCATTATTTGGTTAAGAATATTTTTGACCGGTTACGTATGTTGGTCTATAGGTTAATTTTGCTCACCATTCAGGTTGGGTGGGAGCTAGCTAGTAGCGCCAATCATTTGGCAGTTAGCGCTAGTAATGCTGTCTCCACCTGACAGTGTTGCTGTGGAAACATTTTGCCTAACATGGATGTATAAGGTACAGTGTTGAACACGGTACATTCCTATGAGAGTTGTTCAGTGGTGCATGAGGCCAAAATGGTTCAACTGCTACATATGTTATTGCCCTGATGATCCGCGGCCGAGTGCGACCAAGGCACAAGACTTTCAAAGTTATATCGGACAGAGTGAATCAAATCCTGAAAGTGAAATTTTGCCGTGGTTGTGATGCTAAAAGAAAAAGTATCGACTGTATACAGGTGTCTCTTTTACCTTGTAAGTCAGTGGGAACAAGTCTTTATGGTCCGCAGGGCATCATGTGACAAACCCCAAATATTGCAGTACCACTGTTAGGCCACTATGAAAATTGGCCTCAAAGTCTGGCGCACTTCCTGGGGGCTTGGTGCCGACCTTCCAGTGTCCCCCCAGGTCGCTCCAGTCTCCCTTCAGGTCACCATTTAGCATTGTTAGCAGTGCTAGCAGTGTCAGCATGACTAGTGTTGATAGCATAGTTAACAATGCTAAAGGCGCTCAAAATGAAGCTGCTTACTCACCGGGGTGATCTTGGGGAGCATTTAAGGGTGGCTACCATGTTTCTTTAGCAACACATCTCACCTTTGGAATAGCATATTAGCATTAGTCGCTATATGAGTGGCGCTGCTAGCCAGCTCTGTTAGCTAACCAGTGGAGAACGGAGGGCGGGCAGTGGCAGTTTCCGCATGTTAGCACAGCTAGCCGGCTGTCTGTCAGCAAAGCCAACAGAAAATAAAATAAAAGGCCAAACTTTTATAACACAAAACAAAAAAATTTCACCATCTGTACATGAAAAGCACTTCAACATGCAGCTCTAAATGGAGCACAATGGAGCACCGGACTCGAAAAAAGGCCTCTGGTTTTTCCCATATTTAGGGCTGTTGAACGCAAACGTACCAAAACTGACATCTGTAGTTTGTAAATAACATTCAAGCTTGGCCACTCCTCCATACACAGTTTGTGCGTACACTGCAGGCTACTGTAGGAACATTATTTGTTGTAATGATACTTTAGCATGCTAACTAAGCTAACTGCACCACCTACCTGTCCAACAGAAAACAGGCCAACTCTACATTGCCTTTCATCCCCATCCCCTCCTCAAGTGCTCATCAGTTTAAGTTAAAGTTAAGGCTAACCACAGATTTACTTTCACTTCAGAACGAGCTTTGTGTACTTGCCGTTTCCCCTCTTTATATTTGCGTCTTTTTCCCCCCGCGGTACTGTGTCCACGATCTTCTTAGCTTCCTCTCGGATGCATGCTGCTACTATCTGGTCGCCACCTTTTTATAAAGTCCCGACCTCACTTGTGCGCTGTGCTGAGGAACGCCTTGAAAACAGCAAAATAGAAAGAAAATACAGGCAGACGGCAGAGTCTCTGCAGATTAATACACCGCTACACACTTGTAGTAGGTCACGAGTGATGATTGAGAGGAATAAGACTATATACATTGTTTCATAGGAAAATCCTGCATAGTATACCTTCTTAAAGAGTAAGACATTCTTGCATAATCATGAATTGGGCACTTATGTCATTACTCTTGTTGATATTTTGTTTCCGGTCTACGTGTTTTGTACCTTCTTATTACGAGAGATCATTCAGAGATATGATTCATTTTTCTACAGGGCACCTTTTAATGTAACTTTTTCTACAGAGTGTTTACATACTTGTTTCCTCACTTTGCATACGAGTAGCCGACATCCTACTTGATATGATAAGGTGTTGTAGGCCCTCTCCTCTCCATGATTTCCCTTCCATTGTTGATGCGAATAGTATATTGATTAATCATATCAGAGGTTTGGGATAGCGATCAAACCGTTGACGGGCGTTCACTGGTGGGTCACATTTTCAGCTTTGCTTTAGAGGGAACTGGTAAAGGGGAGATGTTTGTCAATAATGCATGAATATACTGTATATGTGTTGGGTGTTTCCTGACTTTACTTCACATCTTATGGTCACTGGAGGTGATGTCCCAGGTGATCAAGTGCGGAAATGTTTTGACTAAAGGAGAGAAGAGTTTAAATTTTAATCAATTAGATGGCCTTGAGACAAATCTCAAATTCTGTATAGTACTGCTTTTTTTATCAACAGCAATGCAAATCAGAATCACTGAGGATTTTGAAACCTTTTGTATCCTGGACTTTAGACGTGTCCAACAAAGCACCTTAAGTCGCAGTCCTCGTGAAAAAAAAAAGAATATAATTTGTACAGTGGACTGGACTTGTTGTAATGTAAATCCTGTTTAATCAAAGTACAATTTGCTTGCAGAACTTCCCTGATAGTGATGGCTTTTAAGTGCCAACATACCCCATCACATTAGGACTTCTGTGAGCTTCCTGGCACAGCAGATTTACCCAAACGATGGTATATTTCTACAAAAAAAACATTCCAAGGTGAAAAAAAAAAAAAAAGAAAAACAGCACATCACTGATAGATGTCACTTTTTCTTCATGCTTTACAGTCACACAGACTTTGAAGATTTCGTTCATCTTACTTTGAATGCGTCATTTAGTATTCCAAAAGCTGAGTTGAATGTTGTTGATATTAATTCTATTCAATATAAAAGTGATATATATGTATTATCATATGATTCTGCATACAGTTTAATTTGCATTTGGTTTGTTGTAGCGCCCTCTTGCTGTACTGTATCTTGACACTGGGAACTCTGTAGATCAAAACTCCACTGCTGTCTGTTAAATAGATAAGATATATTAGTGCTATAGGTCTTCATTTTGTTCTGGTGTAATGAAAAATATTTTGTTTGAAAACGGGAGTGATTATTCTATTAGTAGTTTTTGTGTGTGAAGAGGTAACATTTACTTTATGTAAGGTTTTTTGTTTTATTTTATTTTTTTTTTTACATTCATCGGAAAGCTTTGCAAGTAAGCAATAATGGAATAATAATTTCTCAGCTCATAATTATCAATAACAACATAGTCCCATTTGATTTGCGTAGTATCCATTAAAATTCTCATGAGCGATCACAGGCATGCAAAAGTTTATATACCATTATCTAAAATGTAATTGCTAATTAGAGAGCACATTAAATATTGAAAGCAGGGGACCTACAACCTCGACTCTCAGGTCACGCCTTGCACCAAAGTTAATGGGACTGCTGTGATTACGTTTAATGTGGACGAGATTCGACTACAAAAATGGCACCCGGTAAAGACCAAGTCATAACCAATTCTGTGCTTTTATATTAAGTTAATTTGTTAAAAGCCAAAACAGTTCTGTTACTGTTTATCAGGCCTAGGATGATTTCTCATAGTGTGTGCTGTTCATCTTGAAAATGTGTTGTTTCTCCGTAAATGTTTGGCACAAAATAAAGGTCACAATCACATTATGCCTCCTCTAATCATTGTAAATGTTTTGTGTGTGTGTGAGAATGTGTGTGTGTGTGTCTTGTTTTGTCAGATGGTTTTGTTCCCCGACGTGCGACATGGTCAAGGAGTCAAATGAGTCGTTATTGCGAGCAGATAGGAAGCACAAACAGCAGTTAAAGTGCCAGTCTGGCATTCTTGGCAAGCGTGCAATGACCTTTTTTGTTTTTGTCACTGCTACGTTTTATTGATAACACAGAGAAAGAGTTTCCATTGACCCTCACTTAATGGCTTTTCTTACAGATCTGTGGATTTGCCGCAACGACCTGAAACAAGTAAACAGGCCTTTATCTGCACATAAAACCCAAGGCCATGTGCATTAATAATTTATAGTGTTATGGGCTTGATGTCTGACATAACTCTCCCACCTTTGACTGCAGGAAACAGCGAGGTAACATGAGCAAAATAATGTTTTGATGGAAACAGAAGCTGCTGATCCGGCTGTTTTTATAGTGCAACTCAATAGCTTCTTGCATAAGATGCAGGTTTCCTGTGGTTTTAAATCTTAACCCCAGGCTAAGATAAACCTGATGACACCCAGATGACATCCTCAGGGTCATATTTTATTATTTTTAACACTAACATTGCACTGTGTGTATGCATTAGTGATATATGAGAGGTACAACTTAATGTGCAGTGTAGTCACGCATGGAAAGAGTACTAGAATATTCTACTCAAGTACACAACTGTTACTTTAAAGACATTTTACTAAAGTAAAAGAAAAAAAAGTACATGATGATGATGTTAAATATGATCACCTTGACCCATGATATAAAAAAGTGCATTAACATGACACTAGCACAGGCTATAGACCACACATCAAAGCACAGAGCCCCTCTGTCACAACCAGCCATAGATTTCTTTACAGACATCACTTTGCACACAACTGATTATCATTACAACACAGCACAGAGGACAAAACTCAGTCACACAAACATGACAGACGACAAAGAGAAACAGTAGCAGGACACCAGGGCAGGCGCATCAAGCAATATTAAGCCACATAAATTAAATAGGCTGACACTTCTTGTAAAATCAACAGCAACATAAAACAGCAGCAAAGCAGACAGCACAGACATAGCATCAGTATAAACTACACATCGTGACCAGTCACACACACACACACACACACACACACACTGAGCCGACCCAACACTTTAAGTGATCAAAGCAGTTTCTTTGGGGCCCTGGTCGAGGACAATTTTTTTTTTTTTTTTTTTAAACGAACAAAAGGCAATGAAATAAAAATTCCAACACACACAACATTTTGTGCCATTTTTGCCAACAAATAATGACAAACAACATGCCCAGAGACGGGCCCAACAGACAATTTAAGTAATAAAATCAAAATAAGTAATTTACTGTCCCCTATGAAACAAGCACTCCAAGCCACACACAAACAAAATCACATTTTGTGGCTGTATTAGATATAACAAGTTAAACAAATTTAACTTAATAAAAAGAACAACCAGGAAGTCACCACAAACTGGAACACATCTGCACAAGCTATTCAACAGTTTGCAAACACTGCAGCCCACTTTTTAAATGCTTATTTCTTCATTATGGGTGCTTAAACTTGCATTTAGAATACACAAGTTGGCTCAGTGCCACAAGAAAGGGTCCCCTAAAGCAAATCCTGCTTGGGGCCCCAATAGTCTAGGAGTGGCCCTGCACACATTAAACAAAAACAGACCTGCACTTTTTTTTTTTTTTTTTGTTACACATTTAGTGCACACACGCACGTGCACAACGCTACGTTGCCCCTAGCAACACTGAAGTCCTCCTCTGCAGAAAGTTCAACATCACCATGAGTGTGTTTATGGTACTCACCTGTGTGAGGACACTCTGTGAGCCACGTGCACCGCGAAGTCCTCGACAGTCTGCCCCAGGTGCAACTTCCCTGCGTCTTCATTCCCAATCCACATCCAGGAACATTTAGATATAGTTTCCTTGATGCATTAGTCCACTCTGCCTCTCTATCGCACTGTAACTACATAAAGTTTCCAAACATGCTGAGCTGAAAGACTTCCTGCTGTCACACACCTCAACAAAGGTAAAAGTTCCCGAGTGAATTAATAAATTACTGCTGGAGGATCCATTATCGCTCTGAAAGCGCATTTAGCAATTAGTCAGACAAAACGCGCACCTGTTAGTGACGCAACACGTAGGTGTGCTTGATGTGGGTCACTTCACGTGCCCCCCGGGTGGTGCAGTAAACCGGTAATGCAACTTTTTTTTTAAAGAGATATAAGGCTTATCATCGAACTGTGCATAAGCTACAAGACTCATCCTTGTTGCGACCACACCTGAGCACCCCCATCACCTGGCCAATGAGCTCACACATTCAACTATGTGGAGCTCCATGTCCTCCTGCAGCTACAGACAGACAGAGACAGACAGGTAAATAGTCACACCTTCAGCCTCTTCTCTGCTGCAGCTGACTTATCTCCTTTCTTTTGTTCTCTTCCCACAAGGTGAAACCTGTCATGACTTTTCCACGGCACTTTTGTTTTTACTCTTACTTTTTCTGTTGTTAAATATTTTATTTAATTTTTTCAAAATATACAAAAGCACACAGTCACAAATTGTGAACGTTTCAAAAATAAATTAACGGACAATAAGATAAATTGGCATGTAACAATGCAAATAAAAATGTAACTAATAAAATTAAGTACTACACTACAAAAATGGGGAGTGTTTTGTTTGAGAGATAGGGTAGTGTTATCCACAGCTGCATGGTCTCTTAAAAATAGACAGATCATGCAGACAGTCATTCGATCATATGTGATGGGAGATATTCCATATAATCAATAAAAGGTCGCCATATTTTATAGAAAGAGTGCAGTTTAGGAGAGTAAAATTACAGATTTTTTAAATGAGTCGAACAGTACAAGTATGCCTACACACACACACACACACACACACACACACAACTACTTTGTATCAGTAACTGTATTTGATTATCTCCTGCACATAGTCGTCTTAACTTGACGTAGACTGTGCTACTTCTGAGAAACCTTAGGTTGTATTTAACTATACTTAATTGCAATAATTACGAACTTTACCATGTATTTAACTCAGTATCATACTTAAAAATCAGTTTGAGAACATTGAAGATATATCATGTCTATACTGAGTACAAATTAAATTATTTAAATAGACCTGAGTAGAATTTAATGGTGTCTCATGTAAGTGTAGTCTCAGTCAAGTATATTTGAAGTCTTTGCCTTCATGTCATTAAAGCAATACTTCTACATGTCGGGGACTTATTTCATTTTTTTGCTGAGAGTTAGAGAAGATCATTACCAATCTTCTCATCTAGTGAGAAAGTGAATTAGTGTGTTTTTCAAAATGTCAAACTCTTGCTTTCAGTGTAGTCAAGTATATTTTTAGTTGTATACTTATCTATCATTATCTGCAAATCAGCAGGTTGAAGACAGCACCATTTACAGGTTCAGCGTGTAGAATTTAGAGGGATATCTTGGCAGAGATGGAATATAAGTATTATTTCTTCAGTGTGTAATCACCTGAAAATGAGAACTGTCATGTTTTTGTTACCTTAGATTGAGCCATTTATACTCACATAGGGAGCGGGTCCTTGTGCATAGAGTCTAACATGGTGTATTTGCCGTATTTCTTCAGTAGCCCAGAACAGACAAACCATATATTCTTAACATGAAACTGCTTTATTAAGTGTTTCAACCATTTTAAATCATCAGGATTGTTTGTTTTAAATAGAAAGAAACCTCTGCAGACAATTTGGCTCCCAGTAAAAACCTCCTGCCCATCTGTGGCTGATCCACAAAGCTTCTTAATACTAAGAGTTGCTCCTTGTGATGAAAGACAATTCCTTGAATTATGATATTTTCTTAGAATTTCTCCTTAAAGTTAAGACTAAGTCCTGGTAAAGAAGTTAAAAGAAAAGTTATTCACGAAGCATCTTAGACATCTTAGACTTTAAAAGAGCTCCTAAGGTGAAAAACTGTTCAGAGTAGAGAGGAGGACTTTTAAGAGGCTTAAGAGTTTCTTAATCAGAGGAGAAAATGGTGGAAAGACGAAGAAGTTGGAGGAATATTCTCCAAATGCTGGATGACAGTGAGTTAATGAAATGCTACAGATTTGATGGTGCAGGGAGAATATGTGTGCTTGAACACATCAGGGATACACACATTTCCCACGCCAGAAAGAAAATGATCCCTTCCCGTCCTTGCTTGAGAACTTTCCGAAATCACTCCTACGCTAGGACTCCTTACTAAAAACTTTAAGGCTAAGTTATGAGTTCTCTGAGAGCATTCTCGGAATACAGCCCCTGGATCTTGAGTTATCAGAAAAAGTAGGTGAGCACACATTAGCAGGTGCTGGGCTGGTGACCTTAACAGTGTAGGAGAAACACTGATTTGTAACATGAAACTGCTTTATTAAGTGTTCTTACAGGTTTAACTCACCTGCTCCGTTTGTTTAGAAGAGGAAGAGACCCACTAAAAACCTCCAGAACAATGAACGCTGAGGGAATTTTAATAAGGAGAATTTTCAGCTGGTTGCAATCTTCAATCCTCACCACTAGATGGAACTAAATCCCCTTAAATCTTACACACTGGATCTGGCACACTTTAAAGTCCAATCATAACACACTACACATACGTCAAATTAGTGGAACACCCACACATGAGAAATAAAAGCCACCACACATGAGCCATGTTATAAAAGGTCTTATTTATTAATTTATTACACAGCATATTTGTTAATAAAACATCTGCAAAAAATAAAATAAACCTCACTCTCTAGGTCCGGTGTTATAAGGGTATATGCAACCGAGATCATTTTAAAGCACAAAAGCGTCACTCAGACTTTCTTTGCATAGACTGCACCACCATTAGTCTCCCTCAGACACTCATGTCAGCTTAACAGGCCCACACAGTACGAAGCACTTTACTGACCCCATTTAATTTACTATCCTCTAGAGTTTACTTACCCACGGGCCTCTTCTGTTTGGAGTCTACTCTGTAAATGGAAGGTAAGAGCATGACTAATTGCGCTAATTGACCTGAACTCTTTTGAATATGATAGTTTAGTTGTCACTCTGCTGCATTTATAAACAGTTTAATGCAGAGTGAGGTTTAAAGGGGCATCTCAAACCTTTGGAGGCCATGACGCTACATATTTCTGTTTTCCTCGCCGTGTGTTTCGTTATTGTCAGTGAAAAGTCTTCATATTTACAAGCTGAAGGAAAAAAAACAAGGATAAAATCTTCCAAAAATACACCATAGCTGATTTTATTCTTCTGAATTGGTCCATAGATTAAATGATGACAAGAGCACCAGGTCATGAGCTATCTACCTGGTCGTCTCCGGTACACATCAAATTAACAAATGCCATAATCCCTACAAGTAATCCCTCAAGTAATCGCCATAATTCATAACTCTTTGAGTTCATCTGAATGTCAGTGTTTATTTACATAATCCAGTTTTAGGGATAAAAAGCTATAAACATTATGGGAGGTGTTTTCTAATCATCTTTAGAGTTGTATTGTCAGATAATGGTAGTGTGGATGGTGATTATCAAAGTGTCATTCTGTCATCCATACAGTAAAAACTACACCTTCATTCAGCCTTTCAATCCAATACACCAGGAAATGGTTATATTCTGACCATAACCTGCAGGTATACTTCATATACAGAGAAAAATAAACGAGGGTACTCAGTATATTCATACACAAATACATCTAAAGTGTTCATTTCAGTCACTGCTGCCAGCAAACGTCTGTGTAATAAAGGAATACTTCACCTGCAAAATGCCCATTTGTGGATCACTTACTCACCGTGTGTTACACTGAATTCATAAAGAAAACTTTGTTTTTCTCTTATGCCTCCACAGTGAATGGAGAATCCAAAAAAAGGCAAACATTCTTTATCAACTGCAGTGACCAGAGTTTATGTTCAACAACAGCAAAACTATATCAAAACATCCATTTATAAACTCTCACACAACCTGTGCAGTATAATCCAAGTCTCATTATCCAGTCGTATGCTCAGTACTTCCCAAACACATGCACTTTTGTGAAAACATATGATTTAAAATGAATAAAAACAGTCTCATGCATGGCCAAGTAGCATAGCACAAATACATGTGATTGGGCAACACATTCTCACTCCCAACTCGCCCTACACGTCAAAATATGACCAAGTAAGTAGCCTTCCAGCCTCAATTTTGGACGCTCAGGGACGGTGTGTCAATTTTCACTCATAACATATACACTGTGTTTTCAAAATAGATGTACGTTTTCACAGTAAAGGAACAATTACCCCTTGTTAAATGCATACAGTCCCTCTTCAAAATACATTTAGAACAAAGGTAAAGACTTTTTTAGATTTTCTTCCTTGGGTTTAGGCAACAAAACCACATGGTTGGGTTCAGAAAAAAAGCCATCATGGTTTGCCTCAAAATAGGTCCTTTCCTTACTGACGTCACAAGACATACATCATCAGCATAGAAGGCTACACATATTACCTGTGCCTTTGAGTAACTTGTGTACTTATCTTACTCGTATTGTTACTCTGTTAGACACTGGTTTCACTTTTTGCTCCTTGAAAACACTTCCTATCTTGTGTATTTGTATAATTCTCCAGATATTTAATATTGTTTCTAAAGCTAGGCCCAGTGAGTGACCGTGACCCGGGGAACCCACTGGCTTTGGTTGTTACTTCATGAACGTTAAATTGCGGTCATTGTACATTTTGTTAATGTAATTTGAAGCATTCTCTGGCAGAACAATTTCCTTCAGGATAATAAAGTTCTGCTATATTGAACTGAATTGTTGTTGTTATTAAAATGATTTGATTGACTTTAGTGCTGTGTCTCAAATCGCGTACTTCTGTACTTACACTTAATATTGTGAGTGCATAAGTGGGTTCACACTGAGAAGTATGGGAAAATGCAGTGCACTATGAGTACCCGGATGGTGCACTCAAAACGGTCAAGAAGTTGAGTGTGGAACTATGGACACTTCTCGTCCTCAATGGTCGCCATCTTGGCTATGTAGCAGAAGGGGAGGGACCACTTTTCAAACTGGAAATGGCGGCCGAGGACTGTGCGACCATGAACATCCCTGCATCATACAAATACACGTATACTGTTGCTGGGTATAAGCCAGCAGTATGTTTACTGGCTTAATTTAGCAGTCTGTAATGATTTGGTACCGCGAACGATAACACAAATGCTAATGCTAGTTTGCTTACTAGATAATTTGCAGTTGTCATTTACGGTGAGTGCACAACGGCCGTGTTTGGTTTGAGACAACACTACCGTGTCGAAATTCGCACACTACGCCAATGAGTACATAGTGCACATAGTATACTACACAGAAGTGTACTAATGGAAGTATGTGATTTGAGACAGTGTAGGTTTCCCACTGGACAAGAACAGCAGTGTCACAGATGACAGTCCGCAGTTTGTTTGATCCATCAACCTCCCCTCCTGCCTGCCCTGTGCTTTCTCACTTGTTGTATCACAGTCATTTCCCATAGCATCAAATAATGACACTGTCGGGTGCGTTTCATTCCACCACTAAAGGGTGCCTCGGTGCGTTGGTGTCTGATGCCGTGGGCCATTCACCAAACATCTGTATTTGACAAGTTGGGATTGAGGCTGGTTGGTTTGTGAAGTACTGAGCATGTGTGGATAAATGAGACTTGAATTATGCTGCACGAGTTGTGCGAGAGTTTGTGAACGGATGTTTTGATATAGTTTTGCTGTTGTTAAACGCAGTCCTCAGTGACTTCAGTTCATGAAGAGTGTTCACCTTTTTGGATTCTTCGTTCACAATGGAGGCATGAGACAAAAACAGTGTTGTTCATTAATTCAATGACCACACGGTGAGTAACTGATATACAAATAGTCATTTTGCAGGTTAAGTATTTTTTTCTATTTTAGTCAAAATTCAGATTCAGATTTGTGTCACTGTTTACCTTTTAGTTGATCTGATTACACTCCAGTGGAAATTATATTTTACTGCTAATTCAAGTATGAATGTTGGTTAAAGTTTTCACCTCAAAATCACACAAAGAAACTGAAATAGAGAAAGTGTTATCATACTCCGTCATTGTATCCAGTGTCCAGACAAATCCTTGCAGAATTTCAAGTGATGTGGAACAAAAAGACTAAAATCTGATTTATTTTAACTCTCCAAACCTTGAATAAAATTACATAGAAAAGCAGACTACCTTGGGAAAAGAACTGCATTTTTCTTTGTGATGTGATCATAAGGATGTCTGAGGATCAGGAGGACAAATTCACTTAAAAACATTTTTTAAATCACACATTTAGTGTCCACAGAGTCTTTTTGTGAAGTTTCTCAAAGCAGAGGTTCGTGTTTAGGTCCACAAGTATTTCAGAAATCCCAGAAATCTGAAACTTCTTCATGGATATCAAGTATATAACTCTCAAAGAGGTCTTTTATTCCCCAGCTATCCTCAATAATGTCATGATTTGAGCGTTTTTTAGTTCTCCTGTCCTCCATTTCAGGCCACAGTCACTACTTCAGCATCCCTTTCAAAAGGGGTCTGGAGAGAGCAGCGCCTGTCAGGTGGCATATTTGAGTTTAGGTGTCTGTGAATTACATGAGATACTGGAAAGAGAAGGAAACCCAGTGGTGGTCGCGGTGCCTTGGCTCTCCACAAACATCGGGTCCAGGCAGGCGACTTTGGCAGCAAAAAAAGCGTGAATACAATGAAGCACGGCGAAGAGGTTTGAGAACTCCAGCTCCTGAGGGCGAAAGAGAAAATCAATACTCAAGTCAAACGTAAGTAATTTATTTTCTATAACCTTGTTGCTTTGAAATTCTTGTTGAATAACCTTTTCTCTGACATGCAGCATTAAACATCTCTCAGAGTGAAATACCTTTGCTTCAATAGATTTGGAGTCTTGATTTTGGAATAAAAACTTGATCTTGCTCTTTCCATCATCAGATGACCCTTTTAGTTGGGAGAACTTGTATCTCCACAGCACTGCCTGAAATATAGAAATTACAAAGGTCATAAAAGTCTTACATTAATCTTTAAAACACAACCTAAACACAACCATAAATCTTGATTTACTGAGTTCCTTCTTATGTCACAATTTCATGAATAATTCACAATAAAAATCCACGTAGATCCAGTGAGAAATGGGCCACGTCAGCTGATCAACCAGATAAAAGTTATTGTGAGATATAAATGTGTTATTTTTTGCCACTGGGAAATGTAACAAGCCACAGCTTATTTCACCTGAAATAGCAAAGCTTCAGTGATTCAATTAGTGTTGAACTGAATAAACAAAAGCTGCACAGTGAGCCAGACGACAGTTTCCAGACTGACTCCTCAGGTAGACAGCTGGCACCGCTTTCACATGAATATGTATCTGTAAGTGTTCCTGCCACTGTAATAATTACTGCGACGCCAATCTGATTAATTATGGCATAAGAAATAATGTTTAACATTCCATACAAAGGGAGTCTCACTGAAATGTTTTAAAATCAGAGCAGACATTTGTGGAACATTTTTAGAGTGCATTGTCCTCGGAGGGCTTTTGTACTTCATACCAGAGCAAGAGAGGCAGCAGGAGCCACAATTTCTTTGTTTTTGTTTGCTAAATAAACCACAAGATATAACAATAAAATATTTGAAAGGACAATGGATTTGTTTGCCTGTGTTCACTATATAACCTTGACGCCTTTTGGTTTCAAATTCGATCCAAGGTTGATTTTGCTTTAGGTCAAGTAGCTATCAAGCAAAAGTTTAATGCTGGACTTTTAAGGAACACGGAGTACTTTTCAGTTTGGTATTGCTACTTTTATTCGAGTGAGGGATCTGAGTACTTCTTCAGCCGGAGGAATAATGCATCTTACAGCATGATGGGATGATTTATTATTTCTGCCAATCATTCAGGTGCATAGATAAAAACTAGAATTACTGCCTTGCGATTCTATGCCTCTGTGCACCAGTCAAGTTGCACTTACAGTTTATTTCCATGTCTGTGGAAATATGGATGCTTCAAACACATCCTCCCCCCGGCAGCATAGGAGATCTATACAATCAGCACAGTTTCAAGGTCAGCACCAAAAACTAGTGTCACCAATTCAGTATCTGACCAAATGTCTCCACTTCTGTTCCTGCGTTAGGACGTAATAGCCAGAAAAGTGTTTTTTCAAAACATTATGATGTCACAGTGAAGCTGACCTTTGACCTTCACTTCATCATTTTATCCTGTTAGACATTTGTATGAAATTCTGTCATAATTAGCATATGAATTCTTGAGTTATGGCCAAAAACAAATTTCGTGTGGTCACATTGACCTTGACCTTTCACCCTCAACCACCAAATCCTAATCAGTTCATTCTTGAGTCCAAGTGGACGTTTATGCCAGATTTGATGAAATTCCCTTCAGGTGTCCTTGAGATATTGCGTTCACCAGAATGAGATGGACACAAAGTCACAGTGACCTTGACCTATGACTTCCAAAATCTAATCAGGTGATCCTTGACACAAATGTTCGAACAGTGTACATTTGCCCCAAATTTGAAGAAATTCCCTCAAGGTGTTCTTGAGATGTCATGTTCACGAGAATGAGATGGATGAGGTTACAGTGACCTTGGCCTATGACTACCAAAGTCTAATCAGTTCATCTTTGATACAAATGTTCAAAGTGGACATTTGTGCCAAATTTGAAGAATTTCCTCAAGGTGTTCTTGAGATACACAAGAATGAGATGGATGAGGTCACAGTGACCTTGGCCTTTGATCTATGACCTCCAAAATCAAATATGTTCGTCGTTGATTCTAAGTGTATATTTGTGCAAAATCTGAAGACATCTGTGTGAAATTCTGTCATAATTAGCATATGAATTCTTGAGTTATGGCCAAACACACGTTTCGTATGGTCACATTGACTTTTGATCCTCAACCACCAAATCCTAATCAGTTCATTCTTGAGTAAAAGTGGACGTTTGTGCCAGATTTGATGAAATTCCCTTCAGGTGTTCTTAAGATTTCGTGTTCATAAGAATGGGATGGATGGATGGACAACCTAAAAACATAATGCTTCCAGCCTCGGCTATCCTCGGCGCGAAGGCATAAAAAAGGACATTTCTACCTTTGAGTTGTGGCCATATTTTTTTCATATTCCCTCTAATGCAGGTAATTTGCAAATTCACATGAACTCTTTAATGTTTTGTGCTTGCTCTTTTTCTCTTTCAAATGTGTACCTGATGATTTGGCCTGTTAATTCAACAGCTCAGGTGTCAGACCTCTGGGTCTCTACTGAGCGGCATGTTTGCTCTGTGTAAAAACCACAATTTGATCCATAAAAATGTTCTGCTTTACATATTATTTAATTTATATCCAGTAAGTGCGACGCATGAGCGAGTACACTTTGATTTGTATCCGTTCAACCAATTCAGGAGTTTACATCGTCTGGAGATATGTTAAGCCTGAAATTGATATGGATTGATCAGAAATTGCTATGTTTATTATTTATTGGAATAATATTCACAGAACAGCCTCAGAATTGAGCTTCAGATAATTTTTGATCACAAGAGCAGCTACGCAAATGAGAATTTTCCTTCATCACGAGTACGGATATTGACACATTTTCCTCGAACGATACTTGTCCTTGTAAAGAAGTATATTATCCGCACCGGATGCTCGTTTCATCTGAGTATTCAGCTCACGCTATTAAGTGCTTTATCCATCATCTACACCAACTTATACTATCAGAGGAAACCATAGGCATGAGAAGTATGTGCAAACTCCACACAGAGAGGTTACAGCCAGCTGGCAGGTTCGAACTCAGAGCTGTCTTGCTGTTGTGCTTTTAAATATTATAAATAATCATACAAAATATATGTCTTGGCACCGTCATCCTTGCTCTATATGTTTCAGTTAATTTGTTTTCCTTAATACGGTAGAGATAAAATCTAGAGCCACGACTGAACATCACATCCCGAGCCTGCAGATTACAGCTCAACTTGTTGAACAGAGTTATATTTGTTCTGATTGAAACTAATTCAAACATGCTTTCTGAATTTTGCCAATAGCAGCTTTTAATTACAAAGTAATCCCGCCCAGTGTATTGTGTGCAACTGCAGTTTACATATGGATTGTGTTTTGTGCATTTCTCTCTATAAACAATACGCTGGCAACATTTTTATCATCCTTGGGGGACATTGTTGCTACACATTGTAGGAATTAGGGCCAAAATCTTAGAGAACAATATGGCAGTGCTTGTGTCCTGCTCATCCACATAATGTGCACCAGCGGAGTAGTCTGCATGGCTCTCAGATTTGGGGAAAGGCCAAAATGAACTGCAGGAAGGAGTGAGAGGTTTGAGCTGGGGGGGAATAGCTGTCAAAACAAATGTGCTCATACTCCCAAAATGCACACAGTGCAGAATAAGTTAGCAGCACCAAAAAAAGAAAAAGTGAGGCTGAGGCATCGTGATTAGTTTCATCACACTGTGTGCAATCCAGTTGTCTGAAATCTCCCAACTGAAAGCATCTCACTTCCATATTTTTATTGATGATGAAGTACTCTCAAATGCTCACCTTTGAAGCTGCATCAAAGCACACAAAGCCCATGCTGAAGTCAACTGTGAGTCCCATAAGGTGGCTCTCCATGATACAGGCATATGTTTTACACTGCAGAATGAAAGAACAAGATGTTACCCACAAGTGCTACACAAGGACACAAAAGCCTCTTTTGCTCTGCAGAAAATGTCATATGAGCGTTATCAATCTCTGTACTAAAACGACTGAGCTGGAACCGTGCGCTGGATTAAAATCATCACAATGCCCCGCACGTTGCCTACTGTTTGGGTGCGGACCTGTATCCTCTCCACCTCCAGGAAAGTGGCCATCTGAAAAGCCTTTTCCCAGATCAGCAGCTCGCACTCCAGTTCCACGCTGAAGAACATGTCCTCTCCGCTCTCCGTCTGGACGCTGAAGCAGTGCTTCCTCTTGTCCAGAAGGTCATTGTCCTAAAATAAGACAGTACAGCTGCCATGCTGATCAGGTACAGATGGGAAGAGTGACACGAACATAAGACAAAGCAGCAGCAATGCAGCTTCTTGACACTAAAGGGCAGTTTCTTTACCCTTACGACAGAGTAAAGGCTGCAGCTTAAAGTGCACTACTTAACACTCACATGAAGCTAATGCATAAATGTGTAAGCTGAACCATGAGATGGTTTACCCTAATGCATCTTTTTATAGCTTTACGTAACCCAGTATACTCGGTGCTGCAGAGGAGGTCAACTTAAATCTGATTTAATATGTGAATCTATATGAATCCAATTTGCCTTAATGAGTTTCCAGATAATGAATTGCAGTCAAATTCTCACGATTAAATTCAAAGTGACTTCGAACCTGCAGAGAAAGAATGCGAGCTGAACCCTGAGTGTCTCTGAGGGATTGAAGTAGAACACATGCAAATAAATCAGTGAGTTATGTAAGTGCGGTTTTCTACTTTAAATTCTCTCAATGTATCCAGTGTGAGAAGGGTTGCTTCTCTAAACGTTTGAGAAATGAAACAGCAGGGGCTGACTTACCTTTAGAATCTTGCACATTATCTCGTACACAGTAAAGCTTTTCTCCGCTCTGGTCCAGTCCCAGGTCGTCACCTGAAAGATTTCACGTTTGATTAGAAGAATGGCTCGATTTAAGGGAGAAGAAAGCAGAGGAATGGTCCATAAGAGTAACACTGGTGTATGTTTTTGTGCAGATAAGCCATTTGGAAAAAGTCTGTTTGCTAAATCCCACAGCCCACTGATTACTGTTGCTTGCTACGCCTCACTTAACAGTGATAACCAATCTGATGTATAAGATCTAGTAATTGAAATTAGCTCATAGGGACTTGGGTTGGGAACCAGAGGGTCACCAGTTCAAGTCCCCATCCGGATCAAATACAGACTGTGGACTGGTAGCTTGAGAGGTGCCAGTTCGTCTCCTGAGCTCGCTGACGTTCAGGGTGCCCCCTCCCTCTGATATCTCTCCATTTAGTCCCTGTTTGTGCATGTGTGTGTTTCAGGCCTGTGTGTTCATGACAACAGAGTGAAAACATTGAATTCCCCCTCAGGGATTAATAAAGTACATCTTCTTCTTCTTCTTCTTAATTTAATTTCACACTGAAGTAATTAAAAGCAGCTTGCTCGGCCCAGAAGCTTTTGCCAGCTATCGTAAGCTAATGCTTACGCTAAAACGAAAGCAGCATGATAGCTAGATTTGATGCTTTGTTACAAACAGTAGCTATGTCTTATCTTTTACAAGAGAAAAGGATTTGAGGATGAGAATAATCATTTGCTGGCAAACAAAATTATTTTTTTTTGAATTGCTGAGGGGAAAACTTTCCTTCACCAAATGAAGAGGACAAAGCTGCTATTGTTGCTCTAAAGCCTGGGTCCTCAGGGTCACTTCAGAGGGGGCACTATTGTCCAATAATTTAACTTAAGTTTTAATATAAGTTGGGTTTGTTTGTGGATGTCCCGATCCAGCTTTTTCACTTCTGATACCGATATCACAGCCTTGAGTTTTGGCCGATACCGATACCGATACCTATCCGATCCAAGCGCATATTATACATATTCACTTATTTTGTTGTCAGTCATATTAGAAAAGGTTTGATCAAGCAAAGAACAACTACTTAATCAGGTTAGTTAGAATGATCCACAACAATTTGTATGAGAACTTGACCTGTTTATTGTTAACAGGGTTAAATAAACAAACTTTAAACTTGAACATTAACATTAAATAAAAAATATAGCTGGTTTGCTTTGGCTGCTTTGGCCCCTTAATAAATAGAAAATAAATCAACATAAGAAATCTTTAAAATGTCTAACACTGAAATTAAAATAGCAGCAAGACTTCACACACTTGTGCTTTGCTCCCCTAATAAATAAAAAATAGATTAACACCACAAGACATTGTTGGCATTTAACAAACAATGCAGCCTTTCCTTTTCAGCTATTTTTGTAGTGTCAGTGCCAGCCTGGTGCTGCTGTTTCCTGTGTGTCTGCATGCTGGCCTGGTGGATTGATAGTAAGTGCTGGAATGGATCACTGGCATGGACTGCTTGAATCGCGGAGCGCTGGGCTGGCCGGAAAACCTGGATCAGATTCCATGAAAAACTGGATCTGAGTTCTTGGATCGGCATTTTTCCATGCAGTCCGATCCGATGCCGATGCACGTTTTTTGCTAATATCGGCGGCCGGATATCGGATCGGGACATCCCTAGTTTGTTTTGTTTGTTTTTTCAAAATTATAATGTCTGAAAATACACATTAACAAGAATATTAACAAATATAAATGGGTATAATCATAAAAAAAAACATTTGATTTACAGAAGACAACATTAATGATAGGCCGACTGTTACCCATGAATCCTTGTGTAGAGGTTGAGGCTAACGCATCTAGCCATGCTACAACTGCTGCCGACTTGTGTCTGGTTTTGAGGGTCATGTAACCACTGTTTATACTGTGGAGAGTTTTATTAGTAAACCGTAACTACCCAGCAAGCGATAGTCGTGATTTAAACGTATTGGCTATATTTAGCTCCGATTTAGTCTAGCTACATGTAACCCAAATCTAGCCGATTTAATTTTGAAATTGATTAAATGTAATTTTTCGCCATAGCAGATGGCGTGCGGTATGATATTCAATCACGTATGGAGAGTCAACAGTAATTAAAATATGTTTATCTCCATTTTTTGGACATGGTCTCTACATAGCCGTATAATTGATGACTTCTACACTTTGGCTATGGTTAGACGTCTACCAAATTTTCACTGACAGCCCAAATTCAGCCGTGATTTAGCCTAGACGTCAGGTCTTCATGTAGACGGCTATTAGAAGTTTTTTAAACCAAAAAATGCTTGCTGGGTATAAAATGAAAGGATGTTTTGCTGCCTCACACTGCAGCTGGAGTCAGAGAAAATATAACTTCATTCAGTGGGCCGACTGCCGGCAACTTTTAAGGTGGAACCTCAACTTGTAATGTTACTCAATGCATGAGTTGACAACATGAATCCATCAGCACACCTTAAATTTCACTTTAAAAACTGTAACCATTTCTTTGGTTTTTAAGTGACAGACACTTTTAGTAATGGAGTGGATCTTCAAGTGTTTATGTATATTCATTTTGACCGGGTTATGTGAACTGCATATATTCTAATCCTCACTGGGAGAAAAAAAAAGTGTCGTTCCCATGGGCTCCGGCAACACTAAACCCCCGAGCTTGCCTGAGAGGACTAACTGCACAAACCCGCTATTTTTAAATATCTGTGGACGATAAACGAGGTGCACGCTTCCATCTTGTCACTGTTAATAATGGAATACAGTGAGTACTGGACAGAGCAGTGAGTGACAACTACCTCGCCCACATTTAAGAGGACTGTTTCAGATGGAAACGCTAGGGTCTAGGTACCATGTCTAAAAGGTTACTCTTGGTTCCTAAGGTATCATACTGAAAGTGTTTAGCAGCTACAAGCAAGTGCAAAAAAGAGAAGGCCCAAAAATATTCAGAGATTTATTTAAGTGCACCTCAGTTTTATACAATATATGTTCCGTCTTTCTTTCAGCTAAGGTATCTTTGGTTTTTGGTTTGGTCTTCGGCCTTAAAAACACTGACGACCCCTGCTCTAAACTATGATCTAACTTCTAGCATGTTGCCTGCACACAGTGGTGTAGTCTTGTTTATTGTAGCAGGTAGACTGTCACCACAGTGTCACAGATACAATTGCTGCCCCCCTCACAAAAATAATCAATAACAATTACAGGCCTCTGTGTCGTGTTTTTAAGCTTGAGTAGGCCTGTTCCCCGTAAAAGTTTTGTCACTTACAATCAATGTACTTCTTTAGATTAAAGATGTATATTTGTCTTTTTAAGGAAAATGACAATTATAGCTTGTTTGAAGAAAAATGAATCACCTAAACATGTATATACAGACACATCACATTAAAACAGGCTTGTTGTGAAACTCAAAATGTTAAATGTTCCAGTACATTAGCTGTAAAATAAAAAATCAACCATTGCACGAGCAGTGATCTACACTGTGCTAAAGACTCCTCTTGTCTGATTGGTTGTTGTCGTTCAGGTGCGGTGGATGCTTGCAAATGCCATAAGAAGCACTAGGAGGAGGAAGAGGAACAACACGCCCCTTTCCTTTGGAAGAAAAGCTAACGTTATGCTACTGTAGGCAGTAAGCTAGTTAGCCAGGCTAACGTTTCCACCTTATGTAAGAGCAGACAAACACACTGTTTGATGCATTCATTACACGCTGGCACTTGTGTTGTTGGTTTTGGAGAGACAGTGATAAAAGACACCACCTACATACTCTTCACTGCAGCCTTATGCACGGTGCTTCCACATATGGAAATCCAAAGCCTGACCAGCCTGCCGTACCTAGTTACAGTTGCCAAGTTGTGATTGGAAAATCACTATTTTAGGGCGGGGTTTAGCAGAGCGTCAATTATTGATAAATGGTTCTTATATTCAAAACTCTTGCCATTTAAAGGGAAATATTCCTCAAACTGTAGGTGACTAGTCTTAAGTAATGGGGAAGCTTGTCACATCATCTGAATAAGCAGGCTCCTATATTCCGCCATCCACTCACATTAGCATATTCCATTTATATCAGTACATTCAAGTTGAGCAGGCAATTCCAGTTTCCTATCAATCTCTTCGCATCTCCAGTACCATCGACAGCTTATCCCTCTTGTCATAATCACTTAAGTGGCTGGCAGAATGTAAACAGATTTAATGATCGTCATCAATCAAGAGGAAGATCAATGTAGCACAAAGGGATTATGAGTGAGTTGCTTCCTTCTTTCTTCTAACAGGAAAGCGTTTTCTCCTTCAACAATACATTAACATGAAATGAAAAATCTCCCGTGGAGTTCAACGACATTCAATTCAAACACAGACGTCTGATGGTTTAAAGAGGGAGTTGGAAACAAATAAGGACTGAGTGGAAACTTACAGGAGGTGCTGAAAACTTGAAGAGGGAGGAACCTCTCAAAGCGAGGAACTTTGGTGAATACATTCGGTCCTGAACGGAGTCCTGCTCCTTCTCGTCGACCCAGCCCATGTAGATAATCTATCAAACAGTGATAAAGAGACGTGGTAATGAGGGATGTGGAATGTACAGACGCAAAAAAAGATCTGTGATATGGGAAAAAAACAAATTACATTTTTATATCATGCTGCTTTCTTTGCATGAGCAACGGAGTCCTACATACATTAAACACAGTTTTGGTAAGGACTGAATTGATCTTTACCTAAAGTATCAATACTACTGACACTAAGCTTTGTGTTACTGGCATCAACAGGATCAATACTACATAAAATGCAGGGTCTTGTGTTAGATTAATTTCTGAGACTCTTCTTTTTAGAAGCTGAAGAGTCTGCTGCCGTTTTGTGCACATGTACAGCGACTGCATCATTACTTCAAAGGATTCACACAATAAACATTTGTTATTTACCATTAAAATTATTTGTTTTGTCATGTATGCAGTTAAGTAATTAATTGAGAATAATAATTAAGGAAAAAGTGATCTCGCCCACCCATAGTTTTGGTTATTTCACACATTTCAAATTGAATTATCTATGGTTATCAGCCACATAGATATGGGTTAAAAGGGGCCTATTACACCTACAGGCAGCTGGGGTAGGCTGTTATCATCCCATTTAATTTCATTTATCAGTTGTCATTGGTGTGGGAGCAGTTTCACTTTCAGTTTCGTTAGGATTAGGCCCAATACTACAGGGTAAGGATTAGCAAAAAGACCACGGTTTAGATTAAAATAAGTATATTTGTTACATGACGTGATGTAATGCAATATAACGTAACCTGACGAACTTCCGTATATCACTTAAAAGTCAATGTTTACATTTGATTTCACACTGGACACAAATCCTGGACTCCTGGGTCAAAGTCCTGTGTCTGTTTGACCCACCATCCACCACTCTGACCTCTTCTACATGCAAACTTTCTCGCTCTTTATACTTACATTATGTTACATGACTATCTCCTTTGCTCCTGTCATAATTACTATGACTACGAGAGGTCTCCACCTTCTAGTAGGTGTAGCAGGCACCTTCTAACCCATATCTATGAGGCTCCATCAGGGTGATTCAAGACCTCCTGCATCATCCAGTCGGGTATCATTTTGTAATAATGACACTCACTGTACCTAATCCTGCTTATTATACCAAATTATACTAAAGATATATTGAATAAATTAATATTTTGACACAAAATATTAGTTTAAAAACGATTTTATTGCTTGTGCTACGCATCTTTCAGAAGTGTGTCTATAGCAAGGTTCTGTTATTTATAGCATTGATCTGCTCTTCAGAAATAAAGGCCAAAACACACCGGCTGCAACGCTTTGTGAAAAAAAAAAAAATCACGCTTTTTAATTTAAATGTACAACCCCACACTGCTAGTGGCTAGACGTGAGTTGGCGCTTCTGGATGCGCCGCCCTGTGGCACTCCACTCTCCCATTTCCAGCCTCGTCGCCCCCGGCATTGAATGCATTTTTTCCCCTCAACCGCTGTCTGCTTGTATATACCATCATCCATAGCAGCTCTTTGTCTCTGCTCCTACAGCAGCTCGACTCCTCTCCTCACCATTGATTCAAAAGCCCCTTTTAGACAGGAATTGTGCAAATTTGCAGGAAAGCCCAGTCAGTCTTTTTTCAGCATTGGCAGTATAAAAGCAAAAATCGGGGAGTGCAGCAAAATGCTGCCTACCTACTTTTGTTGATACAGAATGCGCCTTTTTCGGGGCAATGGGGGGCATGAGCAAGTAACAAAACTTGTAGCTCAGCGTGTGATGTAAACAGTGATGTGGGAGGGAAGCCGTGGCTGGTCAGTCCTTCGGCAATTCTCTCATAAGTCGGCCCGTCCTTCACCGTCCCCGTCATCTGACGGTTAATGGCCTCTTCGTTTGCGAGGACAAGAAGGGCGCGCAATGCCTTGTCTCCCCAGTTGCTCATCTTTACAGTAGCTATGTTTCCATCCAAAAGTGATTTGAATCATTGGGAAATGCGCATCCTGTGTGTTTCCATTAAATGTACGGACTTTGGTGAAAACTACGAACTTGCACGAGTTTTCCACAGAACCAGAAACAAAACAAGTCCCGCATTCTTCTTCTTCTACGTCTTCTGGTGGTTGGCAACCAGCTTGTAAATGCAACCAACTTGTAAATGCCTTCCTGACCCGGAGTGTGGATATCACCATGGAGAGAGGTGCGCTACGTCAGACTTAATTTGAACATAACTGTTTCCATCCCCCGTTTTGCAAATCAACATTTTTTTGAATCAACCAAAACCCGGCTAAAGCGAGCGAATTTTAGTTTGTGTGAATCAGGGGATTTTAATTTTAATTTTGGCGTTTCCATCATAATTTTCCGATGCGATACTTCTAGATGCGCATCTAAACAGGCTGATGGAAACATGGCTAGTGCCTGGCAGGTTTGTGTTTCCCTCTTGCGACTAGCTGCTTGCTAATTCCTGCTATCAGCTGTTTCCTGTTTATCCACCGCCAGTGGGTCGCACGTGCAGCGTCATCAACAGCTCCTCCCACAAGTCATCAACAGCCCCTCCCGTTGCGGAAGGCTGCATCGTTCTGTTTAATCTAAAAGGGTTCCACCAATATGACTACCCTACGAGGCAGAAAATTGGGCAACTCGGATCAACTCGCCAATCCGCCTCTGTGTGTCTAAACGCTCACAGCTGGCCGGCAAAACGGCCCAACATTCACAGAAAATCTGGCAGTGTAAAAGGGGCTATAGAGAACTCTGTAGCTGTTGCTGTTCTTGTGTGGCGAAGAATGGATGAGGAGAGACTCATTAAGGTCGAGAAATATCCCGAGCTAAACAACCCACAGTGCTGTCATTATTAAGACAACAACCAAAGATATTGCCTGGTGAGTCATGGCTCTGGAGATCAGCTGGTGAGAAATCAAGTTTAATAAGGGGCTCTCTACAGATGATTTTAAGCTAACACAGAGGTGACAGAGGTACAGACCTTGTGGTCGTCTGTTGACGAGATGCAACACAACGCGTCCAGTGTGTGCTAGGGGTAGCACTTGACGCGCGTCACATGAAGCACCGCATCACGGTACTGCCGGTGTGTTTTCAGCTTAACAGACCGTAGAATGCCATAATTGACCAATCAGACTTGACTATTGAACACAGCTGTGTAATAACCCCAATGACACCCATTCAATTGAGTGGTAACATCCAGGTGGTGGATTTCTGTATCTATGTTTCTGCATATTACTCAGTCAGATAAAAGGATAAAATATAAAATATTCAACAATATTTGTATGAAAATTTGTTGGGTTATTTGTATACATTACAAGGATCAAACAACACCCATTAACAATGCCCACAATGGTCTAATAAAGGTGCCCTCCTCTACATGAAGGCAAAAGGTTTAAAGTAGGAAACAGATGGTGAGAAGAACAGAAAGAAAGCCTCCCCTGCAAATGTTCTGAGACATTATTTCAGACATCAGTACTCATTAAATTCAGGGTGATTGCAACCTGAGTAAAATGTTTGCTTGTTTTTCTCTTTGCAGTTTTTTGATGGATGGCAAAACAAGACAATGAAAGATTCGGGACAAGCAGGCGCGTCTCATGGCGTCGTGTTTCATAAAAGAATCGTCAAGTGAATTCACACGTGTTGTGTGCGGCAGAAACCAAAATAAATAAGTAACACAAGAAGAGAGCCCACCCTTGCATTAACTCCCATGTTTAGACTGAGAGATGACACTGCAAATTAACTGACTGAAGGCACTTTAAGTTGTTTTCTAATCATTTCTCGCTGGATGGACTTAAATGATGCAAACATTCTCCTTGTGTTGCAATCGCCGGCAATGTGGTGCTGTGTCCTCGCTGTGACTCACTGACCTGGTTAGATTTACTTGTGATTTAAGATAAGGATAAAACACACAAATTAAAGACAGCACAAGCAAAAAAGAAAGGCTGAACAAGCAGCAGGAGCTCGGCCGCTGCCTGGAGAAACATCTTACCTGCTGGTTAACTGGAAAATTTCGGTTAATCTTCTTCACCTGTTAAATTTAACAAGAACATCAATAACTCATTAAAAAGTCTCCTGCTAACAATCAGACACCAATTACTAGTAGAATGTAAAATAGTTGCGGGACCCTGTAGAGATTGACAATCAGTGTCTAAGAACAAATAAACTATGAATCACAGTGTCTGTGCGAACATGTTAAGCACAGCACTGAAGGAATATTGTTAGAGCTTCTTCATTTATTCAATGCATGCAAATTACAAAATGAGACAGATAGTCATTTCCACAAGGACCCAAGGCTCTTCCTAAAAAAAAAAAAAAAAATCCATTTAAAAAAATCCATTCTCTGTGATAATAAAAGCGAGGAAACTACTGAGAGAGCAGTCAGGCTTTAAATTAAAACATTCTGCTCAGATCACAGGTATCACTCGCTCCTAATCCACACTATACTATCGATATAACTCTTTCCTAGCAGCAGAGCACCAAATTAAGCTGTCCAGGCCTGAGCCCGTCCTCCTATAGAGGCGAGGACAAGTCACAGCTGCTTGTTTTGAAATGTTACAGAAGTTTTGGCCGAGGGAGAAAACAAGAAGTGTTTTTTTTTTTTTTTTATTTTGGCGGAGGAACTGAAACGAAACAGCCAGATAACTGTCAAGATGTGAGCAGGGTTTGGATGTACGGGAGCAGTGACAGTGGGTTTGTTCAGATTCAGCGGGTTGTTGTGACCAGGCACAGTGACTGCAGGTCTACCCCACCTCTGACACAAATATGGAAACACTGTGGGGTTTTTCAAATTCTTTTAGATACAAAACAAATACATCTCATACTTATAAAGTACATACAGGAGAACTTGGTTCACAATATACAAAAAGTAATTAAGAACACTTACTCTACAAGAGCTGTACTTACTTCCTGTATTCAGCAATCTATATATCATGTTTTACTCCATTATATTAATGGCAGCTGCAGTTATTGCAACACAGATGAACCTCTCTGTTCATTTGTTTCATCATCAACATCGTCCTCAATCCACTGTAGTCAACTCCTACACTGTTTTACATATCTGCTACTTGCAGTGCGACGCACTTGTTATTATAACCTTTGCTTTATCAGGTAAAACCAATTAAGATTAAGATCTCGTTTTCAAGGGAAAACTGAGGACATCATATGTTTGCAAGTCACTGAAGGACAATGATTAGGGGTGTAAAGATTCATCGATTACATCGATGCATCGATTTATTTTCCTACAATCTAACTGCATCGATAGAGCCTTGGCAAGTTGTCCCTCACTGATGACGATATTGCTGTGAAATCGATTTACAAGGTCAAAAATCGATTATATCGATTACTAAGCATTTGTGCGTTGTATTTAAGCACGACAACGTTATATACATGTATTTTTATCACTTCTAATCGTAAAGTTGCTCGATTCGCTTCACTCTCCCTGAGTGTGACGTCATCGGCATGTGCCGGTAGTGCCAACTCAAAACAAAACGAAGCATGGCTAACAGCAAAGAGGAGGCGGACGAGCTGGAGATTTTCAAGCCGAATTTGAAGTCGAGTGTGTGGAAACACTTTGGTTTCTGCGAAAAAGGAGGTGTTCTGGACAAGTCGGTGGCTGTCTGTCGAATGTGTACTGACTGAGTAAAATGACAGAGAAGAAGCAGGGAAAACTACTGTCCATTCAACCTGATAGGTAAGGTTGCACTTTATTTTTGTATATGATTGTACTCCTTTTATACTGAGTAAAATGACAGAAGTAGCAGGGAAACCTACTGTCCATTCAACCTAATAGGTTGCACTTTATTTTTGTGTATTATTGTACTCCTCTTATACTGATTGAAAATCACAAGAGAAGTAGCAGGGAAACCTACTGTTCAGTTGTAATTCAGCCTGGAGGAATGCTGATCACACTTTTTTTGTCTTTTGATCAGCAGGTTCTGAACTTGTGATAATTCTAGTATTTAATAAAAGGTGAATGTTTTTGCCATTAATCGTTGTGTTTACTTATTTATATCCAAAATTAGTTAATCCCTGATTCTCTTTCAAGAAAAAACTCCCCTGCACTGTCCACAGTATTCAGGTATGTATTTCACAGTCACACTGGTTCAGTTTTTGGCAAAACAAAAAAAGTTACTGAATCGATTTATAGCCCTTGAATCGAATCGAATCGTATCGTTCTAGATGAGCCAAATATCGTTCTTGAATCGAATCGGAACCATGGAAAATGATATGAATTGAATCGTTGTAAAAATTAATCGTTACACCCCTAACAATGATATATGCTTAGAATTAATAAAAACAACTGCAAAACAGAACATGAAATAAAGTTAAAAGACATAGACATCACTCAGTTCAACAACCCAATCGCCAGAATAAATGTTAGCACTGTACACTTCTGGAAACCATGGGTGTGTCACATTTGTACATTTCATATGTAGCAGATGTGTCGACACTGTCTGTTTCGTTACATTTCAGTTTTTAATTTTATGTTGTGACAATGCAGCAGGTAACGAGTAACATGTGAATACAAACATGGTTGGACATCTCATCAAAAAATACACTGTTTGGTTGCTACAAACACGGCTGGAATTTCCCAACCTCCCGTTGAAAAAGATCAATTTTGGTTGTTTCAAACATGGCTGGGCATGTTCTGAACTCTCTTTAATGGTAGAAAAAGATTAATGCACACTTACATCTATGCAGTATTTCACTTTATTGTTGAGCTTTTGGTCTATTCGACCTTCATCAGAGCTGACATGAGGCAACAATGGACAGGGTGGTAAAAATAACCAATCTCAGTGTAATCACTGGCTGTATCCTTTCACTTTGCCATCCAGTATTAAAAAAAACTACAGCTCCCAGAAGGTGGAGCTCCTACCACCAGGGTTGCACACAGGTGTATTACATACAGCCAGTGATTAGACTGAGATTGGTTACTTTCACCAGCCTGTGCATTGTTGCCTCATGTATGCTCTGATGAAGGTCTAGTAGACCGAAAGCTCAACAACAAAGTGAAACACTGCATAGATGTAAGTGCACAGACATCTTTATCGACCAATCTGGACTTATTGATGTTTCCAGCACCTTGCCAAGACCAAGCCGGGTGGAGTGGTAGATATTCTTTAAAAAATACAGGTTTTGGTTGACGGCTGGAGATGTTTTGAACTCTTGTTAAAAAAATACCAGGTTTGGTCTCTACAAACATGGCTGAATTTGTTCTCAACTCTCCTTAAAAATACTCAGTTCAGTTGCTACAAACACGGCTGGAAATTTCCCAAGCTCTTGTTAAAAAAACACACCCGGTGTGGTCCCAAATTACCGAACTCTCGTTAAAAATTCCCAACTGAGTCACAGTAAACATGGCTGAAATGTCCCAAACTTTCATTAAAAAAATGCAGGGTTTGATCGCTACAAACACGACTGGAAATGTCCCTAACTCTTCATAAAAAATACTGGCTGAAAATTTTCCAAACTCTCATTAAAAAATCGCAACAAACACAGCTGGACGTGTCTTAAACTCTCATTAAAAAAGAGATGATTTGGTCCCTACAAACACGGCTGGATGTGTCTTAAACTCTCATTAAAAAAGAGATGATTTGGTCCCTACAAACACGGCTGGATGTGTCCCGAGCTCTCATTAAATAAGACTTGCATTCATTGCTACAAACACAATCGTAAAAATCCCATCTCTTGTTAGAGACTGCCCACTTTTGTTGCTCATTTACCTGTAATATAGACAACTTCATAAGTACATTTAAAAACAGAGAGACTTAAGGGAGAAGTCAGCGATTCTGGAGAAAGAATATTTGCTGGAGTTCAGCACGTTAGTTAGCATGTGCCAGATTTACCGTCCCTCTCCGCTCCCACTGCCTCTCTCTTTATACATTCATGGCCTTCTCCTGTCCTTTGCACGAGCATCAACGCCCCCTGTTGCTAATTGGCTGGAATAGTCATGTAGCTCCGTCCAAGCCACTTTGTTTGTGTCTCATTTACAGAGCCAGGACTGTGTTTGAACACCAGATATTTTTTCAGCGCACACACAGAACTGACAGCGAGCAGAACATGAGATATTTGCTGAATCTCACATTGATTAGAATCGCTGAGTGAACCTTGGAAAGCATGTTCCTAAAATGCCCCAAAGGTACCTTACTGTGGACTTTTAAAGTGCATTTTAAGTTCATACACACGGCACATTTTTATGCTGGTAATTTGTAATATGGTAACATTGATGCACTTTTCTGTCCTGTTTCTGTACATGTTTATCTTATTTTACTAGTGTGTATGTACATGTGTGATTTTAGGGTATACTGAGCATCTTTGGCACAACAGTTTCTTATTTTTATCCCTTCTTATCTTATCAGAGTTACTAGTGAGGTTGCAGATTAACGTTTTAAAACTGCAAAGAGAAGAGTGGACTATCTGCTTCATCATCACTCAGAGAACGGGACTCATTCTTTCATGACAAATGGTGAAATATTTGACTACAATCAGCTCTGCCCAATTGTACAACAGCCTTCAAAGACAGACTGAAGCTGCTCTGCGAGAAAAGGATGACCTTACTCTTAATGAGATCCTCGATATTCGTATGTTTTTTTTAGCAGTTTGTGCTATTTTGGTCCACTTGTACATCTCATTTGCAAGGTTTCCTGTTTAATAAGTGGGGCTCATTAAATTGCAGTTTTTAAAAAGGTCTAACTATGAATATTTATTTTGACTTTTTAAAAAAACGGGTGAACATTTGATAAAACAAGCTCCTCAAATACATTTTCTAGTGTCACAGTTTATTGTTGTTTTTTTTTTAAGCTCTTTGTGGGACTCTGGCTGATCCTCAGCATGATAAATAAATCAATAAATCTCTTTATTTGTCCCAAAATGGCAATTGGTTGTGTCGCAGCAAAAATGAAATCACGAAGCACCAAAACACATCACATAAACAAATGACACATCATATTACAAAAAATAAAAGTGAATACAGAGTGTCTGAGTTAAATTTAGAGTAGAAAATATTAAATAATAAAATGTGTAATTTAGTCCCTAATTGGGGAAATTTGCTTAAAGATAGCAAATAAAGAGCTCTGTTATCTGTTATCTTTGTTTTCAGCCTGCCTGACAGCTTCATGTCTGTTGGTCCGTCACTTCGGTTCAGACTGAAATATCTCAACAACTACACGATTGATTGCCGTGAAATTTTGTGCAGGCTTTTATGGTCACAAGAGGATGAATCCTATTGATTCTGGACATCACCTGAACTTTATTTTAGTGCCACCACGAGGTCGACAGTTGTGGTTTTGAGTGAAAAATCTCAGTAAATATTGACTTTCACTTTTCATCCAGTCTCCGACCTCTGATGACGATAAAGCTGAGGGGCAATGGTCAGTATTCCAGGAGATCCAGGGCCGTATTCACAAAGCTTCCTCATGCTAAGAGACTTTGGTCTGTTTGAACCGTCCATCAGCAAAGTGATCACACTAACAATGACACTTTCACAGCCAGCAGTTCATTTCATTTCCACTGGGTGTCCACACCTTACAGGCTCACAGAAAGGGTGTGTCTGTGACAACCAATCACATCTGTTAAAAGAATGCATCACACCTAGCACCAAGGTCAACCACACCTCCTCACTAAGGTAAAAGTTTCTGTCTCTTCCTTGCTCTGAGAGCTTTCCTAAATCACTCCTAAGCTAAGACTAAGGCTAAGTTAGGAGCTCCAGAACAAGACTTCCTTTTTCATACAGTGCTCATTATTTACAGTTTGATTAGCAAGCTAAGACCAGTCCAAACAACATTTTGGCTAATTTCTAAAACCAGAAGATGATAGCCGATGGGTTCTGAGATTAGATTTCTGCTAATGCATTTCGCCTCTTTTGCTCTCCAGGTGGACTTTTCCCCTGTAGATGATAGGGGTGTACCACATCATCTCGTTCACGATAATACCGGTCTAATTTTTAATATCATATGAAAAATTCCTATTGTGATACCTGCGATATTTTGACTTGTTGACATATTGACATTGTACTGTTACCCATGGCAACAACAAGCATGGCTGAATGTTAAATTATTACTGACTCCCCGCTGGTTCCAAAAAGAGGAGCAGCTTTACAAGTGTGGAATAAACTGTGGCATCCTGAATGTTTTATGAACAGCCCTGGACTTCTCAGACTCTTATAGCAAGTTACCGCTCAGAGGGAACTCATTCAGCGGCTCCTCTGGCAGCAGCACAGCGTCTCTCCCTCTACTCTAGTGATTTTGTCATAAACCTTTGGTGATGTAAACCTACGTGCTGCTCACGGCAGACAGAAAAACTCCATAAATGTTAATGTGTAATAGTTGCTGTATCATAACAGCCTGTCACAGGTTACAGCGTGATGATTAGAGGAGAAATGGCAGAGCATAAAGGTCCAGGTGGAAAAATAAACAACTCAGTCATTTAGGATTTTGTTAAAAGAAAGAAATCACCTACAGATTTATATTTATAGATCCCAGGGGACATTTTTGTATTTGGGAGCTGTTTGAATGCGTAATTTGTGGTAGATTTTATTTTGTTGAACAATTAATATTGTAACAGAATCTGAATCTCACTCTGAGTTACTGTTGTTGTTCACAAACTAAAGAAATGACAGATCATTTTTCTTAAGTTTTTACTGAATATTTGAAGGCAAACTTATTTTGTTACGATTCTATTTTTTCAAACTAATTATATATATATATATATTTTTTTTTTACTAATTTGTCATGTTGTCAAAAATATTGTTCTCACAAAAATACCCTGAAATACTGTGATCTTATTTTAAGCCCCCCCAATTGGAACAGCTGGGGTGAGGAACACAAACATAATTAATTTCATCTCCTATGTTTTTGACTCATGAAAGCCCCTCTGTGAGTTTTCTGTCATCCATTTATCCCCCTACCCATGTGGAGGAAGTGGTCATTGGTGGCCTTTCTGGTGACCAAAGTTGCAACAGTTCTGCTTGCTCTGGCCATTGTTATCCCGTTACTGCTGCGTTTCAGTAACTTCTAGTTGATGCCAAAAGTAAGGATGTTACTGTAACATTGCTGTCACAGAAAAAAATGTGATTTTATTTTGGGGCCATATCGCCTGCCCCTTGTAGACAGCCAAAGCCCGCTCAAACCTAATTGGTCGATAATGCTCGGACTACAAACGGAAACCAGATGCATCCAATTCCAACACCTGTCAACGGATTCTGCAAACAGATGTCTGTTACAGAGATTATTTTCCATCTTGTGCCATCAGTCGGTCAAAATTTGCAGTTTGTCCAACACACTGGTTTATGATAAACCTGCGTTCTCATCCGTCTCTGTTGTGCTTTGTTTTAAATACTAATTAGCAATGTTAGCATGCTAATAAACATCATAACTGCATAACCTCAGCACACTGATGTAAACACTTATCTTGCAGCACCACTGTGCCCGACTACAGCCTCACACAGCTGTTCACAAGGCTGTAGACTCTTCATCTTGATGCATCTCTCTTTTGAATTTTCTTTTTATGTTTCAGTTTATTTTCTATTACTGGATTCATTCATTCATTCAACATTCTGAACTGCCACAAAAGGGACTCTGTTATAAACTGAGGTGAACAGTGTGTGCTTACTCTGAGCTGCAGGAAACATAAAATCCAGAACATCAAATAAAAACAATGCACGACAACATAAAACTCACACGACAATAACCGATCTACTTCTCTGAAGAGAATCCGGGTAATTGTCTGAAAAAATGTCAGAATCATACCGTATTTACAATTAGACATCTTGGGGTTTTTTTAAAATCCTGCATCCATCTATGTTGCTCGCATACTCGGTAAATGCCAAGGCCAGACAGAGAGAAACACACTCTCCATTGTCGAGGCCATTCTGGCAGTGAGCAATCAGTGCTATGATTCGTATGTCCCTCACTTCGTCCACTCCAATTAACCAGGCCTCCATTATTCCCCGGAGACTCTCCCACACACACACACACACACACACACACACACACGCACACGCACACAAAGCTTCGCCAGTGGACACATGATAATTACAAATCCCTGTTTTTCACTGCTGTTCACTTCATGTCGTATCATGTCATGTGGAGAACCGACACTGATGTGTGGCTATATATTTCTGGATGGCGGCTTAGCAGGCTCTCTAGAAATGTAACTTATAGTGTGCTGCATGAGAAAACACCTAAATATACTGATAAATGTGTCAAAATTGGACACTTCTGTCAGGTTTCGTATGAGCCACCACATATGATGGAGCTTGTTCGCAGCATGTGTATGCGACCCCCCCCACCCACCCTCCGCTGAGCATCATCACCCATCTGGAAATTTTTTTTTACAGCTAGAACAATATGCACTCGACAAGAGAAAGAATACAGCATGTTGTTTCTTTGTTTGTTGCTGCTGCCGCTTTCTATCATTACTGTATAACATTTTATGTTGAATTATAGATAATAAGCACAGGGGTTTGCTTAGTGGGAGTAAGTGTAGTACAGCGCAATTGCTGTTATCCTGACCTGGGGCTCAAGTGCGTGCTTTACTCATCGTGTGAAAAGACATTAGTATGTGTCTACTTAATGCCGTGACATTTGCAAAGGAACTGTTAGAAGATCCACAAACTGAAAGTATTTTGCATCAGCTCCCCACCCAGTGTCTTACTGGTTTACATAGGGGACCGTGAGAGGCAATAGAGCAAACAAGTGTTATTCTAAACTCACATTGTGCTTGGTGAGACTGGAAATGTTGCTCGCTATTGCCTGAAGCCAGTCCAAGCAGTCTTCAGCTGTGGGGAACTGTATAACCCCGCTGCAAACTCCGTCTACAGCTATGACCTGGAAAGCATTTTTCCTGAGAGAATGAAGAGAAAAACAAAAGATTAGGGGGTGTTCAAGCAACTTTCAGCTTCTGAACTACAGATTACATTCAGGCTGTAACTCTCTCACTGATTTATGACGTTCAAGGAAGCCATTAGTTTCCATTAGATGAGAAACAAATGGCAAAGACCGGACACTTACTTGAAAGATGTAATTTTCTCAACTTTGCTCTATTTTCGGGTCAGGAAAGCTAGTGTTGAATTTCATTTACATGTAAAACTCTGGGCAGACTCTTCGAAAATTCACAAATAACACTTCTCATGTAATGTCTTTACTTTGTTCAGTGGATTTTCAAAGTAACCAGCAATACCAAAATAACTGCAATTGCAATTTATCTAGTAGGAGTATATAGCAGCACACCAGAAACAACAATAATTTCCAGGGCTGGTACCTGCGGTTATTCCACAGGCTAGTTAATAACATGTCGGGCAGGAAATCCAAAGTGTGGGATCATTTTGAGAAGGTGAAGGACTAACCCAAGGTGATATGTAAACTCATCTTCATTGGTCGACTACAAACATGACTTATCATCTGAAACATGGAAGTAGCTACATGTCCATTAGCCCACAGCGTCATTAACAGGCGGCTCGCTCAGTGTGTGACGTGCACTTGTAGATAAAATATAGGCCTATATTAATGAAGGTTCATTAGTACGGTTTTGTATTTCTCTGTAATGTAGCACAGTGTTAACAATGTTACTGATACTATTCTTTCTCACACCTTCAACTCAAACCACCAAAATATATAATATAATAGTTAAATTAATATCGTAAACACGCGGGTGACTAGTCGACCAATGGCCCTAAATGATGACTATTGGTCGAGTAGGAAAATTATTCTGGGGGCAGCCCTACCACTGAGAAAAGCAAAAATGGAAAAAGTATATACAGTATAGAGGGAATCGCCTTGTTGACTAATCTGATGTTTGTAAAGTCTATAAACACAGTGATTGAACAAACATTACTATTTTTGTGTGCACGTTTTGTAATTAATAACATGGTTATCGTAGATTAGCTGGGCTAACCGTTAGCTGTTGTGGAGTGGATGTCTTAGTTACAACATGATTGAACTAGCAAAGCAGTTTTGTGTTGCTATGTGTGGTATTTATTCAGTTTTGTGAAATCACGATGTCTAGAAAGCATCAGTTGCTGCAGCTGACAGGGACAGCTAACAGCAGCAGCAAAGCTAACATCAGGACGTCATCTGTTAAAAGCTTCCCGTTGTCGGATACGACATGAAACTACTCCAGTTAGCTCAGTCATGTTGTAACTAAGACATCCGCTGGAAAAAAAAATTATTTCACGGACCATTTATTAAGTTACTGAGTTATTACAGACACCGCTAATGGCTAACAGCTACCGGTTAGCCCAGCTAATCTACGATAACCATGTTATTAATTACAAAACGTGCACACAGAAATAGTAATGTTTGTTTAATCATTGTGTTTATAGACTTTACAAACATCAGATTAGTCTAAACGGTGATACAGTGACGTGAACCCGGAAGTATTTGTAAACAACAAGGCGATTCCCTCTATATAGAAAGTATTTTCCAAAATGTTCAACTATTCCTTTAAACCTACATCAACTGATTTTTTGGCCTCTTGGGGGCAGTAGAAGCACATTGTGATCACAGCACTTACATATTATCTCCTTTAAAGTATATTTAGCTGACTTGTTTGCAAAAAGTTGCTTGTTTACACACCCAGCCATTACAGAGCAACATTATTATTCATCTAGAGTCGTGCTTCTGTCCACTTGATGAATGTAAGCCCAATATTTATTCTCTTTAGCTCTGTTTTTGGTCTTTACCAACTCCCAAGGAAAATATCTGCCTCTTTAGCTGCTACAGGCTCCACTATGTTCAGCAGCTAGTCTAAAACTGTGTCTGTCTGCTGTTTGGTTCTGAGCAGGTGGTCTACAGTTGGATTTTAGAGGGTTTTCCTGAAAAAAAAAGCTGCCTGTTGCTGCCAAAAATGACACTATGAAAGCAGTGAGAGTGAAACAAAACAGTAAAGCTGCAGCCTGAAAGTGAAGTAGAGCTGCAATTTCAGGGGATAATAATTAGCAGGTTCATCACTATTTAGCTTTAAATGCATCAAAAACTCACAATTCCTGGTCTGTTTTGAGTCTGATGTCATTAAAGATGTGAAGTGTATCACCGTTGTGTCATAAAATATACTGAACCCAACACCCACTGCACGGCTAATCAGTCTAAAAATGTTTAATACCATTATGCAACTTTCAGTCAATGAGCTAAAACATGCCAAACCACAAGTGCGGTCCATTAAGAGTCAATTCACAAGATTACTGTTTCTATCATCCACAGTGTAGCAAGATAAAAATGTATTATTGGCAGCTTTTTGGCTTCTTACATCAAGCATCCACTATTCAGAAAGTCTGTCTCACTGCAGAACTATTTCACTTATTCAATTGTATTTAAAGGGATATACTTAGTAACAGAAAAATTACTATAATAATAATAATAATAGTAAGAATAAGAGTATTTTTACAGATGAAGGGTGGCAATCTGCTCCATTTGTAAACCCTCGAGCACTGAACAAGTAAGAGATCCTGGCACTGCCGGCCTGCAGAGTCTTTCAGGGAGACACCAGCCCTGCAAGTGAGAACAGACACCACTGACCCTTCAAGATGAAGTCCCACAGCTCACCTGCAGACGTCAGAGCCCGGGTTGTACTGCGACAGGCGTGAGTGAAGCAGTGGAATAAGGCGCAGGTCCACCCATCTCTTCTCCCAGCGAAGCCCCGGGGACGTGGGCCAGGACGAGCAGGACAGCGTGTCCTGCAGAAGTGTGAAACGCAATTTAGAGGAGCTTGTCGTTTCCCACCTCGCGCATTTCAAACAATCGACATGTCAGGAGCTTGAATCCTGCTGCTGCTGCTGCTGCTGCAGGTGCACAGGCAGGCCGAGTGAGAGCACGCTGCAGAGGAAAGCTGATTCACCCTCCTCAAAAGATAAAGATAGAGCATCCCGGTTATCAGCAAGCAGTGACAGTTGCATGGAAACTACTTTCTGGCACCGGGAACGCTGCTGCATGGTTACAGAGGGACAGTTATAGAATCAGTCAGTCAAAGAAGAGGAGGCTAATGAAAAAAGTACCGTGTTGTTGGGATGGTAGTTCAAGTGCAGGCCACTATCACACAGAGGAGAGGATGTCCCGCTACTCTGGTCGCTGGGGATGCCTGAATGTACAGCGGGGACACAAACAAACAAACAAACAAAAAAAAGCCAATAAACCCTCTAAACTCAGAGCAACACCTCCATCTATTTCAAGGTTTCCAACTGCAGTGAATCACAGTTATCAACAAAAATGTGTTACTTTGTTCTCCTCCAGTGTGGGCTGCTGCTCTGTGCCAATTTGTATTCAGTTGACTCGTTGGTTGGCCAGTCAACCTGGCCTATATACGCGAATGAAAGGATTTTATGAAAGCTTTCATGTCTGATGATGGGGCTGAAGCTTCCCCATGCAAGAGCAATCAATTGCACCACAATGAGCAATGTCAATTCTTTCAGTTTAGTCTTTAGCAGATTTTGTGAAGCTTGAGATCTGTCCGTTCCCCTCTTCAACCCCCCCTCCCTCATTTTAGCAAAGCTGCATCTTTATTCAGTGCTCGTCACAATGAGAAGAAAGTGAAGCAACTGAATTTATATTTCTTATTCTCAAAGTGGCTCTTCAGGCTCGAGTTTATTGTCGCCAGGACAACCAATCCTAGACTGAAAATAATACCAGCTATAAATACTCTTTGTTAATTATTTTGCACTGGTGATTATATACTTTAATTAATGAGTGTGCTCAGAGGTTTCTTACATGTGCAGTCCTCACACAGGGGCAGTTTCAGAAAGGCTGGAGTCTTCTTCAAGAAAGAGACAGTAAGAGTCACTTCTTCACCAGCATTTCTCAAAACCTGGACCTGGAAAGAAGAAACGCGATATTTTTATTGCAGGAGCTGTAAACTGTGAGGTTTTCTGCCGATTGCTTGCTGTGATGAAACATGGTGCGCTAACGTCACCCTGAGAGTGGAAAGCCAAGATAAGAGATTTACACAGACTTACGCATATTTTTTTTTTTTTGCAGTTACATTTAAAAAAAAGCATGAAACAGAAACAATTGTCTTTACATGTCAAAGAGATACAAATCCTAAAGTGAGACAAGATAAGCTGTTGAAAGAGCCGTTGCAGTGTAAGAAAATATGAGATATGAGATGACAGCTTACCACTTCCTCGTGGCGATAACTTCTAACGTTTATTCCATTTATCTGGAAACAACAGTAACAGGGTTACCCTATATAAAACTGCTGGCATCACATCACTGTAGCTCCATCTTCAAAATGATTAATGAGGGACGCACAATAATAATGTTATGGCATCTGCGCTGAAAACTGTAAACAAGATAGTCACATCCACAGTTGCCATGAATACAGAGCGCCTTTGGCTGGCTTGTAAATGTTTCCTCTGCATCAGATGAGCTGAGACAGATGAGATGTGGGAGACTTTTTGTTGCTGGTGTACATGTAACAAATGAAAGCCTGGAGATGTGACATTTACCTATACGGATGCAGTTTTGTGGACATGTGGCACATGAATTATTAAAATGTGTGTTATTTTGCAGGGTAGGGTGAGACGTGTAAACAGGAGTTTTGGCATTTTACCTGAAGGATGCCGTCGCCGATGAAAAGTAGCCCAGAGAGTTCAGCTGGAGACAACAAAAACCACTTTAGTAAAAATAAACCAGAGGGGCGAGATGGACGAGGTGATAAAAACCAAAAACAACAAACCTTTTTGTTCTTTTGATATTTTTGATATCACGACGGGGATTTTATGCTCTGCTCCACCCTGAGGAGATAAATTAAATAACACTAAATTACAAAAGGTACGACAAACACAGAACGAGTCAAAGGCACTTGAAAGCAACTCAATTTCCTGCGAATCCCTCAGCTAAAGCTGTTATTGCAGTTTGACCAAAAAATGATCAATAACACTTGTTCAGACTTAATTTAAAGCAGTTGGGAGGAGCGGCGTAATCAGCTGGGATCTAAATTACCTTGATGCTCAGGCCAAACCCTCCAATTGTCTGCCTCCTGATCGTTACAGTCCTCTCCTGGAAGACATTCAGTTTGAAACAGAGAAATGACTTCAGACTGATGCTGAACCTGTGGGAGCTTTTACAGCAGAACAAGTGGGACTGTTTGCTTTTGCCAGAACTTAAATCTAATCACAATTAAATAAAATGCCACAAGATGAAAGCCTAAAAAATGAAGTTATAAATCCTTATTTGTTTCTGTAGGGTACATTTAGAAACGGCAGCGTAGCCTATCTTACCAATAACAATTATACAGAAAGTAGGGAGCAGTGCTAATTCAATATTATCATTTTTAGACTCTCTTTTGTTCTACAGATGTTTGTTTGTACAACTAATGAGCATCTTGAGCTACATTTCTGTAAATTAATTATAAATAGACATTTTGGCAAGCACGCTTTTCTTTTCTTTCACTCTCCTGGCGAGAGTTACATGAACACGGTCCTGTCTCAGCGTTAAACATGAAGCTGGAGCTTAGCTTATTGAGCACAAAAACTGGAGACAGAGGGAAACAGCTGGCCTGGCCCTGCCCAAAATTAAAGAAATATGCCTACAAGCACCTCTAGGCTCCGCATGGGGGGAACTACCACACCCTGGGTTCGAAGCAGGAACCCTCTTTGCTATGAGGCGACAGCGCTAACCACCGTGCCGCCCCTCATTGGTATTCGATGTGAAATTCAAAGTGCGTGACGCCCCTCCCACTGTCTTGGAGGATGTTCCAGCCAACCTCATTAGGCAGCTGGCTGACATGGGAGGGTTGTTGCCTTGATTAAGCTCACCTGGCCCTTCAAGGCTGTAAAAGCTGCCTCATGTTTTCATTTACTCTCTCCCTTCCTGCAGCAGACATCCACGCTGCTTGGCACTGGTTTGCACCCTCAACACCTCCACAACACACCTGACACACATCCATGCATGGCTTTCATCACTGACTGACACACTCCATTGTTCATTTGAGTTGATTTTAGTTTAATAAATCGTTCTTGTTTTAACTACATCTTTTGTGTGGACTCCCTACTTGTCACATTCACTGAGCTAGTTGGTGACAAGTGTATGAGAAGTCAAGACATGTTCTCAACATGAGCCGCCGGCTAGCAGCTAACAGAGCTAACTCGATAAATAGCGCTAAACAGCAGCAACAGTGCTAACAGAACCCATGGTTTTAACCAGGGGGTAAACTGGAGGGTGGATCCTACGCTTCTGCGCTGCCCCAATACCAGCATTAGCCGCTGTATGAGAGCAGTGCAAAGTGGCAACGATGAGCTAGCCAGTGGGATACACATATACACATATACATGCATGCACAGCCAGACTGGCTTACCACACCAAACTACAGAGAAGCTCGGATTGCAACGCCATTACTCCGCTACATCTTTACACAGCAGATAGTAGCTTGCTGCTGTATTAATGCCTTGAATCTTAACACACTGTCTGGGCCTAATAAAAAAGAATAATGTCTGGGTTTTGTGGGAGGCGTGGGGGGGCGTTACAGGCTGTAACTATTTCTAGATGAACAACACTTTATTACTTTCCACTGAATGCCTGGCAACCTCACAGTGACTGTTCGGCTGCAGACTGTTACACTACGTAAACCCCAAATTGACATTTTTACTTTTCAGTTTGTGTACTGGTGAAATAAAAGAACTTTATAGGCGTAGTGAGGGTATTTTTTCACTTTCGACAGAGCCATGCTAGCTGCTTCCCCGTGCCTCTGATCTTTATGCTAAGCTAGGCTAGTCACCTTCTGGCTCCAGCTTAGCGCACAGACATGACGCTACTGACTTCACCTAACGTTTAGCAAGAAACAGAATAAGCGTACTTCACAAAATGTCAGACTAAGTTTTGGAAAGTGGAACACAGCTCAATGCTTTCAACACAAGTTGTTTGATTTAGTATAGTTTTGCAATATCATGTTAAACACTGGGAAATAACCTTATTCATGTCATGAAAATAATTACAGCCATACTAGCCCCAGCTGTAGTACAACGATGTCACTCAAATGTCAATATTATTATTTATATCCACCCAAAACTGTGAGACAACATTTTAAACAGTTTAGTAACAAAGGAACTGTTGGCTGGTGCACACCTGATAACATCATGTGAAATAAAATCTTGGATTTCTGCACACAGTAAGCACTATGTTCGTTGAAAATACAATGTCTTGGTCATACATATTCCTCACACTGCCTTCTCTGTGCTCGAGTATAAACTGAAAAACCTTGGGTGTGCTGTGAAGGGGACATTTCCACCTTTGTTTGCACTGATTTAAGAGTTTTGGGTGGTTGTTCTGAGCAGCTTTAATATTGATCGTGTGGGGTAATTATTTATCTAATGGTATCAAAGTCAAATCTTTAAGGTGGTGTAGAAAAAAATGTGTTATTGAGGGTGACTATCATAATTGCAATCTTGCATGGCTATATTTGATGTTTATTTTGTTTTGTTTTTCTATTTACTAAAGTACAAGCTACCCTTTTCCCCACAATCATACTCTCCTGAGTTTTCATTAAACGTTGTCTTCAGTGTAACTGTTCCTCTTCATGCAGTATCCAGAATCTTCTGGTCTATTTATTCCACAGGATGATGTTTGGTTATCCTACTGGCTGCTAGCGATACATATAGTATTCTTCATTTTCAACAACCAGTCAGTGTTGACATCATGAACACCTGAGTCAATGACAATATCAAGTGCGGATATGAAATTTGGACTGGTTATTATCCAATCCTCCCTCCCTTTAACTTTTCTTGTTCGTTAAAATCTATTTTCTTTTGTCTTATTTCCTTCTAATTGTACAGAACCTCGGATTTTCTGTATGTTGCCTCAACAACACTGATTCTGTAACGCCTCAGGTGTTCAGGATTTAGCTCTAGTATAACATGCTGTTGTTTCATATTGTGAACTGCATACTCACAATATGTTTAGTGCTGACGGTGTGCAGGAATCCCACACTTTCTTTTCAAAGGTAAAAGTGTAAATTGGTCACAGAGGCTAAAAAAATCTGCACTCCGACTCCCTGACATGCAAACGTTATCACTGCAGTACATCGTCGTGCTTTCCGTTCATTAGTATTCGTGTTTCAGCGGACGCTCCATTCCTCTTCCAAGATTTATCCAGCAACATGTTACTGAATTAGTTTTTTTTAATGAGAAACAGTGAATTAATAAATGTGCAGAAAAAGTCGCCAGACATGACGACAAGTGCGGCTTAAAGATTACACTCTGTACATCGTGATCCATTAGGTGAATCATTATTCAACAGCTACATTTGATTCATGAGGAACAGATTAACTGATGTAGATTTGTCATTAACAGAGACATTCAGTGAGCATTCACAGTATCTTTGTGCCTTAACCTTCATGTATTGTGCAGTGCATGTTACTTATTTCAATGTATGAGCGTGTGAAGTGCGGCACGGCGGTATTGGGAGATAATGAGACGGACTGGGTTACTTACACTTGAATAAAAAGGCTCTCCTGACACACAGATGACATCTTGTTCTTGAATGGTCAGAATATCTTTGGCCAAGTGTAGTCGAATATTAAATGGCTCCTCATTACCTTCTTGCATCAAATAAATCCCAGTCTTTGTCTGCGAACAGTCAGAAAGATAAAATCATTCATCATCCCTTCACGACTAAATTAACTGGCCATGAAATGAAATGTCGTTGAGAGTACTCGCTGCAGGATGAACATGGAAATTAGGATACAGAGTTTTGGCGTTGTCTGTTATTTTCCTTTTTTTTCCACTGCTCTCCTTGTTAAAGCTAATGTTGGAGCAAATAACCATAGTCAGCACTCTGAGTAATAAACAAACATATAGATTAAAAAAAAAAACATAGAACAACTGCTGATTTATGGTTTTAAATAACGAGCAGACCCTCTGAGAAACAGCTTTTTTATGAGCGGAGTGCTCTGTATACGTTCACGCTGAGAGAAAAAAATTATATCATCTCATTTGTTCTACATGTAAGGCTGATGGGGATGATGGCAAATTAAGAACCTGTGAAATTAAGTGGCTGGAACCAAGCTCACCCTCCACATTTGAATTTCCCTGCTTCATACAAGCAAGTGTGAGGACTGTTTCCAATGATCCATTTAAAACATGCTAATCCGCATAAATTTGCATTCTGCATATCCTTCCTCCTCCCCAGCTAATTGCAATGCCTGGCCTGTCCTTGACTTAAAAAGGTCTAAATAAAAGAAGCACCTTCACCTGACAAGACTGCTAATAGGAAAAAAAAGACACCAGTGTCAGCATCCTTGTCACCGGGGATACGCTGCTCATCAGTTAACAAGACAGAGTCGGTTGCACGGTTGCTATTCTTAGACAGAGTATCTAAACTGCAGGTCAAACTTGAATCAAAGTCAGTTTATGGAGCATATTATCTTTTGCCCGTAATGAGGAATGTGACGAAATGAGCCTCCGCCTGCAGCTGCAGTGTGAGAAATGAAATGAGGGGCGCATTAATTCACATTATTTGAAGTAATGTGTGTGCGAGAGTCATTAGCCCAGCAAAATGAGGGCAGTAGTGCCGTAACTGTATGGAGCTGGGTCAGACAGTGTCTCACGTGGTTGAGCGCTGGTTGACCCACTGTAGCGCTTGCACTGTACATAATTAGCCTTATCTCTGATCCTATTGTATGTTTATCTATTACTCTCCCCTCCGAACCCCCCTCCCCGCATCATTATCTACATCATCGTCTCTGATCTGATCTGATACCATGCGCATAACTATTTCCACTGCAGGGTATGCAACAAGGACATCTCTTTCCAATTCAGGGGTGTTGTAGTGACGGGAGTGGTGGAGTTAATGGCTCCAACATGGGGAGGGCCTTAAAAAAGTCTGTGCCTGGTTGCATGAATTACCTCGAGGCTCAGTGTGTAGGATGTATTGGCATGGAATATAATATAACGAGTATGTTTTCTTTAGTGAATAATAGGAATCATGGTTTTTATCTTGGAATGAGCTGTTTATATCTACATAGGGAGCGGGTCCTCGTTTATGGAGATCACCATCTTGCACCACCATGTTTCTACAGTAGCCCAGAATGGACAAACCAAACACTGGCTCCAAATTGAGCCATTCACGTCTACGCATCCACTGTAGTTAGAGGCCCACCTGTGCAGGCTTTTCTCACAAACTGTTTTTTATGTTTTCCTACGAAACGTAACCAACCTTTAGTTCAGGCTCTCGTCGCAGGCAACGGCACAGTGTCTCCTCCTCTTGTCAGAATGATGTCAGTGACTATTTAGTGTTGATTTGGGATGAGTAAGTATTGAGTTAAATGGCTATTAGTGTGAAATATAAGCACATACTGTAGGTAGGAACTCTTGGGGCCTACTCCGCCCCCAAGTAATCAACCTAAATTCATACATATCCCACAGATTTTGAAAGGCTGCGGTCACGTCACCAATGCGTTGAGGGAAGTAAACAGGGAAGCAGTACTGAGTGGACTCGTAAGGAGGCAGGATGGGGTGATGGATGGGTCACAAAACCCCAGACTTTCCTCCAGGACTTTCATCTGGAGTCGCGTCTTCGGAGCCATTTGTATTTTGAGTGAGCTTCAAGTCCTTTCAAGGTACGTCCTCGCCATGTTTCTTTTCCTGAATCTAACCTCAGTATTTTTATTTGTCTAAACCTAACCTCCATAACTTTATGTCAATTACATAACTGTACATTAAGGATGTCACATCACTCGTGGAATATCACACGAGAGTACGCTGATCTGTGACAAGCAGCATTTGAAAAACACAGATTTTTTTGTGTGTGTGAAAATGCCTTACTCATTGTTTTCACTGGTTTAAATCACTGGGTCTGTTTGTTTTGGAGAGGAAGAGACCTCTGTGGATAATTACGCTCCCGGTAAAAACCTCCTGCGTGTCTGGATCTTAAGTTACCAGAGACAAAAGGTGAGCACACATTAGCATGTGGTGGGTGAGCCGCCTGTCTCTGAAATGCCAAACACTGTCTGAGAAACATTGATTTGTAAAGTGAAACTGCTTTATTCAGTGTTTCTACCCGTTTTAATCACCTGGTCGGTTTGATTTCGAGAGTAAGAGCCCTCTGTGGATAATTCAGCTCACTGACAAAAGACTCCTGAACAATAAACACTGATGGAATTCTTGCCAGGAGAAGTTTCAGCTGGTTGCAATCTGCAGTTCCCACCACTAGACGCCACTAAATCTTACACACCAACCTCTAAGTTTCAAACTTAAATTTGTCCCTCATGCAAAATAATTCCCTGAGCTGAAGGGTTCATTTAGGAGCGTCACATAAAGCCTCTAAGGTTGTCTCCTACATTTAACCCAGCCATAATGAATATGCACTATGTTCCACAAATTATTTCCCTTTTAAGAGACTGGTAGAGGACACCTTTAGGTCCCCTAAAATCCTTACTAAGGACCTTTTAGCAACACATCAGGGAATATAGTTCTTCGGTAGCAGAGACTCAGAGATCAAAGGATTTTCCCTTTAAAGCATCCTAAGGTAATGCTTATGCTGACTTTAGGCAACTAATTTATTTGTAAGGCATCCTTAAAAGAACATTTACAGGCAACCTTAGCCTAAGGGGTTTTGTGCAACCGTGTACTGGTATTAAAGAGTTTTTTAGAAAACATTATTAGCGTTATACAAAAACTTTTGGCTGACTAAAAAGCTTTTTGTATCTAAAACAATGTCAGACCTGGGTAATTGTGCTGCTGCTGGGGAACTCAGGTGAACTTTTTGAAGCAGTTGTGTAATTAAAAAAAGAGAGAGAGACAGAAAAAAAGGAACAGCCAGGAGCGATGGAGAAAACAATCAAAGGGAAAGCGACTTGTTGGCAGTGTTAGCTTGCTGATAAATGAAGCAGCTCTGGCCTCAGTTTGACAAACAGCCACAAAGAGCGGATCAACTGCAGGTCCATCACCATCATCTTCTCATGTTACTGAGGATGTGAGTTTATAAAGCGGCGACTAAAAGTCACTTCAAGCGGTCAATTACTGCGGTTCACACTGAAAGGAGCAACATTCTCACTCCCAACTCGTCAAACACCGACATGGCCCACATGAAAAAACTATTATGCGCAAGGGACCGGTCCAGCATCAGTTTTGGATGCTCAGGGGCCACATATTAATTTAGGTTTGTTGAATACAGCACCATTAAAAGACACAGTTACAACACTCCTTGATTTTGTTCTCACTCATGTAGTCAAATGGTTCACTTGGCTCTCAATAGTTCCAAACAAGTCTGCACTGTCATCTTTTTGAATGGTTTTCAGCGGGACAGACAGCAGCGCCTATATTTGCACTGATTTTCGGAAAATATTAACGTATAATGTGCATCGACTACTATGTGGTCACTTATGTTCAATAATGTTATTTTTTCTGGGGAGGAGGGAAAAGGCAGCATTAATCTGTTTTTCTGTGCTTTATTTTGAAGGGAAAAGACTCTTTAAAAGACTGTTTACATGCATTGTGTCTTTTCAAAATAAACTTCACAGAAAAATGCAGTTTCTGCTCGTTAAATGCATACAGTCTCTTTTCAAAATAAACTTATTTCCTTAGGTTTAGGCAACAAAAGCATGTTTGTTTGATTGCATAACGCACAACCTATGTCACATATGTCACCTGACATATGTCACTGGCATAGCATGCTACACATTTATTGTTACTTTTGGTTTCGCATGGGACATAAGCAGCAGTCTCTCCCTTTAAAGTCTGAAATTTGTTTTACCCATGCACCTCCCCTTCCACCCACCCTGTGCGCAACACATTCTCACTCCGACCTTGTCACATATTGATGTTTGGCCATGGACTGTCCACGTCCAGATACGACGTGAAAGGTCGTTGGTTGTTGACTTTCTGGGACGCCGTGTCAAATTCTGCCTGTTACATGCGTTGTCTTCTTTTAAGATACACTTCAGTTTTCACAGGAAATTTACTTTTTACATACAGTCTCTTTCAAAATAAACGCACTACGTCAGTACAACAATGCAAACTGATGTTTTTTTCCTCCAACAGCAGACACACATGGTTGGGTTAAGGAGTAAAGAACAGGGTTTGGCTTTATTATCTTGTAGGATGTGAACACCGGCCTCCCGGGTGAAGGTTGGCATTTGTTGGACCTATCCACCAACACTCCCTTCCACCCTACTTGGACTTTTGCCGCCTTAACTTTCGTTCTTGTCCTACTGTTAAAGTTAATTATAACAGTGACCAGCCGTGTGTCATGCCAAGGTTAAAGGATGCTTTTTTCTTCAGTGTCTGACGCAGCAAGTCACTGCACAAGTGCCGGATTCCGACTTGGAGTGAGACCGGGTTGCTGTGCAAACTCTCTCGCTCCTCATACGACAGCAGTTGCTATTTGACAAGTCGGGAGTGAGACTGGGTTGAGAGGAGATACTTGCATCATAGATCTGTTTTAATCTCAGTGTTTATTTGTCTATTTGTGCAGGTCATGTACAGGGCCCCAGATTTATGTGCTGTTCTAGCTGCATGCTTTCACCGACGTTGTTTCAGGCACTTGAAAATGCCAAGGCTGCTTCTATAATCATCGTCAATTTACTGTCAAAATGTTACATTGATTGAATCCTACCAACCTCTTCATTTGAAGTCTTGAAATCCATGTGCTACTACGCAGTGAGGGATACTGCAATGGAGAAAAACAAGATTGAGTTAGACTGTGGAGGAAAATGCTTAATGACACAACTGACTCACTGCGGCAAAACCGTATGGCTGATTTAAAGCATTGTTAGCAGGGTACCTTTTATCATTATAATTCAGCCTTTCTCCTATAGAACTCAGATAATGGAAAGAAATAGATTTTTCATTGAAATGTGCCTCTTATAACTTAAGTGTGCAAGGGGAAAAAAACCATTGAGCAATCCCAGGAGAAAACCGGAGACCATTAAATGATAATGAATAATTCATTATCAAAGGTGAGAACCCAGGTATCCTAATAAATGTTTCAATATCCAATCCAGCGCTGCCAGAAATGAACTGAGCTGCCACATCTGATGCCTTGTCAGAGAGTTAAACTGGGCCACAGTAAAAAAAAAACAAAAAAAAAAAAACCTCACAGTAAGGTAGGTATTGTGGTTTTAAAGCAAAAGGAGTGACAGCACATACTTCTTAAATTATCTCACTTGCTCTATACAGACAGATACACAAGTGTAAAGTCTTGGGGAAATGTTATGCGAGAGCCTCATTTACATAAACCAGTTCCACTCAGTTTTAATCAGACACGACTGCCACTTGACTCCGCAAAACGCGCACAGAACAAAAATGGCTCACACTTGAACCTGTGCTGCAGAGGGACTCGGACACTTGCCTCAGTAGAAAGGCCCCCAGCTCTTTGTACGGTGAGATCTAGCCATCGAGCAGTGAGTTGATCCCTGATCTGAGCCGTGGCAGAGGGCGTCCCCGAATCATGGCTGTCAGACTTGGGTGGTTGGAGAGCAGTGCTGTCACCTCTCCTGGCTGGCTGTGGGTGTTGAAGAGCAGAATGAGGCTATCGTGTAGTGGTTTCACTCCTGGCAGTCCCCGACCGCTGGACGTGCTGCAGTAAAAAGGGGAGGATGCAGTTAAGGTATCGTTCTAAACCAACGTGCAGGTGAGGAGCTGCTCTTCAACACAAGCAAAAAGATGAAATGTTAAATGGACAGTTCACCCCCAAATCAAAATTTTTCCTGTTGCCTGTAGTGTTATTTATCAAGGTAGGTGTTGAGGTGTGAATTGCCGAGTGTTCGGCTGTGGAGATGTCTGCCTTCTCTCAAATATAATGGAACTAGATGGCACTCAGCTTGTGGTGCTCAAAGCGCCAAAAAATAAATAAAATAAAAACTCACCAGCAATGTCTCTTTGCAGAAATCATGACTCAGCTGCTCAAGATAGTGAGCAGTTTCATGCAGGAACTATTTTACCAACCAAACGTTTCACAGCGCAGAAGGAAGCGTGCATCTACTGCTAGCTCACCTACGTAGCACAACTGAGCTAGCTAACGTTACAGCTCAGCCAAAGAAGACGCCATTAATGTTTTCATCTCGTGATGTCATCAGCACAAGCCTCTCGTACCATTGGTGGCTGTAATTCGGTAAAAAGATAATGGGACCTTCATGAAACTGCTCACAACAAGGCCTGTAGATTATCTTGAGTAACCGGGTCATGACATCTACAGTAGAAAGAGACCAAGGACAGTTCGAAGCAGAAGCACAAGGTGGCAATGCTTCACCAAATGCTCCGCCTCCCCCACCTACACCAAACAAAGCCGTCATTAGCCCTGAATAATTCCCCACCGAGAGCAGTTAATTGTCACTAAAGACAGACAGCTGCAGGTGATGGAGAGCTGAATGAGCTGTGTCTGAAACGGCGTGTGTTGGTGACAGAAAACTCATTTAATATTCCAATAAACACATGTTAACGTTATCAGTGTTGGGGAGAACGTACCATTAGTTCCATGTAATTAAATTATAAATTAATACTACTACTACTGCTAATAATAATAATAATAATTTGTTTTATTTATAGGCGTCTTTCAAGACACTCACCTTACAGGCAAAGATAGAGAAAATAAGAACAGATTATTAAAGTGAACGAGATACAGAATAAAGTAACATAAAAAATAAAAAAAGCCTAAATAGTGAATACAATTCTGTGGATGTGTGCGGCTAGATGGACGGGAGTCAAACTGAAAAGGCTATATGAAAGAGATGAGTTTTGAGGTGGGATTTGAAAGTGGAGAGAGTTGATGTTACAAATGTCTGGTGGAAGGACGTTCCAGAAGCATGTAATCAAATTATAGTTAATAATACAAACTAGTGATTACAGAGGATCCAAAATCTTATATGTAGAATATAACATTCATTCTGTTGCTTTGCATCTTTTTGGCATGAAGGAATGCCTTCTTTTGGTGTGATCTATTTCCAGACATTTTTCAGCTTTATTGGTTTGGTTTGGTTTAGGCACAAAAACCACTTGGTTAGGGTTAGGAAAAGATCATGGTGTGGGTTAAAATGAAAAAGAAAGTGGCAAACACATTGAGCCTACTTCGCCTCAAGCCTTTCCCAGCTGACCCAGAGCCGGTCGCGGCGCACCATCAAGGCAGAAATACGCCCGCCGGGAGCCGTTCAGCACCGCGGACCTTCAGACTAATGGAATGTCGGACCAATGACATGGACCCGTCTCTGATAACCCCTGCTCAGTGGGTGAGTGAGTGTTGTCATCTTGGAGGATAGAGTTTGGAATCTCATCTCGATATCTCTCTGCATTGAGAATGCCTTCAATGAGGTGCCAATCAGGCACCTGACCGTCAACACCTGGGGGTACCAGGAGCTCAAAACAAGAGCCAATTGCAAAAAAAAAAAGTTTGGCACTGGCAGAGAAGATTTGGCAAATTTTTCATGGGCACAACCCACATAGCTCTGCTGCTCATCCCACAAATGCATGCTCATTTCAAATGTGGCACCATTTAAAAGGGAAATAAACAGGCTTTCCAACGGTGTAAGATTTAATGCCAAGAAGCATTGTTACAACAAAGAAATAATCTACCAACACAAATTTCCTTACTTTTTGTGCCTAGTTTAGGAGCATTACTCATTACATTTTAACAGGGTAACTAGTAGTCAGTAACCTATTACATTTCAAAAGTAACCTTACCAACACTGGTTAACATATAGTGGTGGACATCTCCAACATGCTCCAACCCCTCCATTCAAAGCAGTCTAGAACAGGGCCTGAATGAGACGTGGCTGTTTTTTGGCACTTTTAGCACCACGAGCCAAGTGCCATCTAGTTCCCTTATATTTGAGAGAAGGCAGACATCTCTACAGCTGATATCTCCAACACTCACACCAAAACAATCTAGTTGATAAATAGCACCTCAGGTAAGAGCAAAAATTTGTATTTTTGATTTGGGGGTGAGCTGTCACTGTCAGTCTTCAAATACAGCTCAAAAAACAGAGCTGAATATTGTTCATTGAATGCTTCTGACTATGACTGAAAAGATGTAATTTACAGTTGGCAGCAACACAGATGAGCGTGATGTCAATACTTCATGTATGTGGGATGCTGAATCAGAAGCAATTCACAGCTTCGTCCCCCCAAATAAGCACCTGGTACAAAAAACAGATTCAAAAGCAAACTCAAAACCCTGAATCCCATTCCTCAAGGATCCTCTCAAACACCTCACTCGTAAAAAAAAAACCTGTGGATTCCTGTGCACGAATGCCAAAACGCAATTAACTCATATTCTTCCATTTTTGTATGCCGCGCACAAATGACTCTTTTAAAGTGTTTATTAAGTTCCAAAAGCATACCCTTTAGAAATCCTCCTCGTTAGTATGCATTGTTGGCTCCATGCCACTTTTTTTGTTGTTAACCACTGTGATCGTCGTTCCAAAGGAATAAAAAAAACTTACAGTATATGTATTTCAAGATACATTTCATGCATAAATCATGGACGCCTGATTATACAGTCACATTTGCCTTAATAGAACTCAATGTATTTGTTAAAGCTCTGAGAGGAAAGAGAGTGATGCCATTATATTGTGTTACAACAATTCAAGAAATCTTCAAGGTGATGTGATACCAGGTTATTCTAATAGCTTTTCTTTATGCACAAGAAAAACGTACATATCCTGAGGCAAGCTGACTCTTTGACGGTAAATCCTTGGCCCTTTTTAAAAAATATATATATATATATATTTTAAGCATGGACTTGAGCATGGTCTGTGATATGTGTGTTGTTTTGTGTATTTTAATATGCTCAGGTTTTATTCTTAAGTTATATGTTTTTGTGATGCTAAAGGCTGTCTTGAATGTTGCCCTGTGAGTTGTGCATTTTAAAGTCTAAATAACATTTTTTGTTAATGCCAAGACTAAAGTAAAGTCAGCTCATTTATTGGGATCCAACATGTGTGTGAAACAGTTCCTTTTAAACATTATAATTTTCACTTTGTGTTTTGGAGAAATTAAATGTCATGGTCAATAAGGAGGCTGCAGTTTTGCCCACCCTATTTATATGAATGAAATTAGATGTAGTAGACTGCATTCATCGTACCTAATAAAGTGGCAGCTTAATGCACATTTGATATTATTTTTCACGGTAGTGAGGAATATATCATGTTACAGTTGCAGTGTGCTATAATTTTGTATCAAATATGTCTGATCAAATGGTAAAACTAAGCAGTCCTTCTAAAATATGATGAACCAAGATTCTGTTACCGTGTTGCCTATTTTTTGCAAACGTTTTCAGAGACATGTTTTAGCTTAGCGTTTAACCATAATACATGATTGTTTGTCACCAGCTGGAGGCCATATTGTTTCCTGTGTAAAAACAACAAAGCTCGCATCACTGTTGCGTCCCAAACCGCATACTTTTTACTGTCTAGTGGGTGCTGCAGCTTCCCTTAAAGAGTACGTACTGTTGCATGCAGTATGCACACAATCAGGACATTCTTCTTTTTCATAACATTACGCCCTGAACTTTGATCGTCTTTTTCATATATCCGTTAGCCTGGTGTTAAAACTCTATTTGCTGAGTTTGCCAGCGACCTGGAGAGCTCTGCTGTTGTTACTTTGCGATGTATGTGGTTTAACTTTAAGGTCCTTTTAGGCTGACACTGAGGATTCTAACGTGCAGTTTTATATTCACAACAGTGAAATTACACGTGCACTTCTCTGTCAATTATTTACGTAGTTATTTCTTTTCGTTGTTGGTGATCTTCATGATTATTTTGTTCATTTATTTTCTATTTATTTTAGGCTTTTTACGCCTTTATTAGATCAGACAGACCAAGCGTGAAGGGGGAGAAAGGGGATGACACGCAGCAAAGGGTCGTGGGCCGGAATGGAACCTGCAATTAGTGTGAAACAATTAGTATTCCTATTATTACATTCGTCATACATTTGTCATCTGTCATTGCAACTTCTGAGGGTTGTCACTCAGCTGTCAACCAGCTGTCATCTGTGTGCAGCTCAGTCAATGTGACGCATCTTGCACTGTGCAGAGGATTGTGGGTGAGAACAGGCAGAAAAGCATGCTGGCCTGCATACTGCAAAATACGACCGGATGTAGTAGAACATTCTGGTAATTTTAGCACACAGCATTTGACATATTATGTATTGGGGCATGCTAAAACTTTTTTTTTTTTTTAGGGGGCGGCTGTGGCTCAGAGGTAGAGTGGGTCGTCCACCAATCAGATTAGTGGTTCCATCCCAGTCCTCATGTCAAAGCATCCTTGGGCATAATACTGAACCCACAAACTGCTCCCAGTGGCTGTGTGAATGTGTGTGTGAATGGGTGAATGTGACATGCAGTGTAAAAGTAGACTAGAAAAGTGCTATGCAAGTGCAGCTCCATTTTACTGGTATACTACATAGTATAGCAGTATGAGTATTGGAACTCACAGGATGTCACCAAGCAGTGGGAGTGTTTATTGGTCTGGTGCGGTGCAGGTTTTCGAAAGCAAATACCACTGCCCTTTTTCTCTGTTTTCTCTGTTCATATAGCACCAATGTTAAAAGTATTGCATCTTTCTACTGCAAAGACAGCCCACTTCA